GGCTAGTTGTTGAATGGTGTGATCCTTCAGTGCTAGGTGTTACATGGTGTGACCCTTCAGTGCTAGGTGTTATGTGGTGTGATCCTTCGGTGCTAGGTGTCATATGGTGTGATCCTTCAGTGCTAGGTGTTATGTGGTGTGATCCTTCGGTGCTAGGTGTTATATGGTGTGATCCTTCAGTGCTAGGTGTTATGCGGTGTGATCCTTCGGTGTTAGGTGTTATATGGTGTGATCCTTCAGTGCTGTTTGTTTTGTGGTGTGATCCTTCGGTGCTAATTGGGTAATTGTTGAATGGTGTGATCCTTCAGTGCTAGGCGTTATGTGGTGTGATCTTCAGTGCTAGGTGCTACATGTATGTGGTGTGATCCTCCGTCGCTAGGTGTTATGTGGCGTGATCATTCGGTGCTAGGTGTTATATGGTGTGATCAGTCAGCTCTATGTGTTATATGGTGTGATCCTACAGTTATAGGTGTTATGTGGTGTGATCCGTCAGCTCTAGGTGTTATGTGGTGTGATCCTTTAGTTCTAGGTGTTAAATGGTGGGATCCGTCAGCTCTAGGTGTTATGTTGTGTGATCCTTTAGTTCTAGGTGTTAAATGATGGGATCCGTCAGCTCTAGGTGTTATATGGTGTGACCCTTCAGTTCATCGTGTTATCCCATATAACTGCATTGTTCTGGACCTTGTTAAGGTCACAACGCATCGCATCAGATATGACCAAAAGAAAAAACACAAAAAGACGAACAGCATAAAAATAAGGATATCTAGTATGTTTACCATTGAAACAACTATCCATTAAAGACCAAAGGACAAACATGTAAATAGTAACAAGTCACCGTTCGACCTTCAATAATGCGCAAAACTCTCTTTATTAATTAACTATAAAAGTCACCGGGTTAACAACATTTACAACAATTCAAACAAAATAAACTGAAAAGAGGTATGACAGACAGCTGCTCCAAAGGAAAAGGATGATTATTAACTCCATATCCTGTCTAACAGCTGCTCCCAAGGACAAGGATAATTATTAACTTCATATCTTGTTTAACAGCTGCTCCCAAGGACAAGGATAATTATTAACTTCATATCTTGTTTAACAGCTGCTCCCAAGGACAAGGATGATTATTAACTCCATATCCTGTCTAACAGCTGCTCCCAAGGACAAGGATAATTATTAACTCCATATCCTATCTAACAGCTGCTCCCAAGGACAAGGATAATTATTTACTCTCCATATCTTGTCTAACAGCTGCTCCCAAGGACAAGGATAATTATTAACTCCATATCCTGTTTAGATAATAACTATGCGTATAATTAAGTATGATAGAGTAATATAACCATGACAAATTACCCTTCAAAATTATTCAAACCAATCTTAATGTAAAACATCTAAACATGTCATGTACAGATCATACAAAAGCTCCTATAGTTTCAGATAAAAGAAATGCTTTACGGCTTTGGTTGTGTTTCGTCCCATGAATGTATCAGATTATGATTATTCGTCAACACATGGTGTTGTTACTGCTTTTAGTTCTTCTTAATAAAATTGCCATGCAAATATACGTTCAGCGAGGCAAGAGGTTAAAACTTCATAAATAATATCACATTGATGTACCAGAGAACTTTTCCTACAACTCCCTTACATATTACTAATTTGTGTGATGAATGTCAAGATCACGATTCTTCCGACGTTTGTTTCATCATTTTACACTTGATTAACCAGACATGGTCTGCGGTTTAGTGGATTCTGCTTGATAACAGACGCATTGTTGTTTTTCAATTTACATTTTATATATTTATAGAGTACGTACATTTTATATATTTATATATTTATAGAGTACGTACGTTTTTTAAATATAAAGTACTGAAAGTTTAACATTTCTTCTATATTATATCTAACGACTTAGTTCCCCAAGATCATAGCTTTAAAGTTTCCTAATTTCAAAGCTTTAAAGTTCGCCAAGGTCAATCATAAAAATAAAAAAAGGAGAGACAGCACAGTTACGACTAAGTGGACGAAAAACGGCTTCGATAAAAAATCATAAGTCATCTTGACTTTTTATTTTTTAAGGCTGATGTCTCATTGACATATACAATGCATTTTCTTTTATTTGAAATAACTGTACGAGTATACATATAAATAAATGGAATTTAAAATTTCAATATTTCAAAAAGACAGCAACCCAACGACACACACAAACAAATTTCATCTTAAAGTCGATTTACAGATACTCATACAAATGCAACTAAATCCTTGATATAATATTAAAGATGTACTTAGTTGAAATTACAAAAATCTAGAATTTAAAATTGATACTATAAGTCAGAAGAGCATTAGTTAAGCTAAAAATATTGATAGGTCATGGAGCTCCTTTTCGAGATATTTAATTTTTAAAAAATGGCGGGAAAAGGCAGACTCGGGCTTTTACCCTTCTATTTGCATTATTTTGGTCTCAAATTGAAAGAAAAGAATCCAAAATCTGCTTAAATTTTGGTAAATGACCTTTTACGAGTTATTTAAGTCTTATTTGAAAAGAAAAATGGGTGTTATGGGGCAAAATATTTTGCCCTGTATTGTAGGAAAAAACAAAGGAGTCCTAAACCTCACCTAAGTACATCCTTAAATAAAGGTGTATATACTGTTAAAGGTTACATAACAGGGATAACAGGAATCGCCCAAAATACCACAACAACAACCAACGCTCGATACCACCGAAAAACTTCACAAACAACAACGAACATTTGCGGATCTTGGTGGGGTTTACAGACAAGAGATAATGGGCAAAAAAAGTTAGAGATTAATGGGATGCTAAAATATAAAGAATAGAGAATGATTGTCAAAAAGAGAATATTTGGAAAAATCAATACCGAAAAGAAAATAAATCCAGATCTTCACATATAGTTCAGATAGCCTGATTTGGTAAAGGACCAAACTTTGGTGAAATTAAAACAGTTTTTTTTGTCAAACTCTTAATCGTTGGGAGTCTTAGAAATTGTCAATAAAGTAAATAGAAACTATCAAATATCTTTAATTAACACATTTAGATTTAATCACCATATAAAAATGATGGGATTCCTGACTTGGGACAGTAGCATGAACATGTGGTGGTTTTGGACAGGAACGTAAACATGTGTCGGTTTTTACGGCCTAATTTATAACAAAACAATTTACAAATATGTTTCTGAGCGCTGAACACTCCCCCTAACCTGGTACAGTTGTTTAACAGCACAACATAAGAACAAACTATAAAATCAGTTGAAAAATAGTTTAGTAATAGTAGATTATAAAAAATCATCCTCGAAAAAGTTAAAAGAACAATGTACTGGAACATTCATACTTTTAATGTATAATGGTACATTTTTATTGTACGAAATGATTTATACGAATCGTATAATGTTGTCCTTGAACTTTCAATGCCTTACTTTCATTATATACATTAATTCACGACAAAACAAATAAATGTGTTATATCTTTGTGCAATATATTAATTGAAACAGCTGATGAGATTACTCCCCGTACAGAAACAGCTGATGAGATTACTCCCCGCACAACAATCATTCAAATTCTTCTAAGGTTGAAAACAGTAATGTTGTTTGATTAAAGAACAGTTTTGAATTACACCTTTAAAAACACAAATAACATAGTTTCATAGGTAGCAAATGTCATAACTTCCACATGTATTGGGAGCAAAATCATTTCTTAAGGAATTAGATATCAGATGCATTGAGATAACTGTCATTTGAAGAGAAAAAACATGTAAACATGTTAAAAAGGTAAAGATAACGTGTTATCATGTTAAAAAGGTAAAGAGAACGTGTTAACATGTTGCATAATTCCTAAACATGTGAAGAGAAACATGTTAACAGGTTACATAATTCCTCGAAAGGTAAAGAGAAACAGGTTAAGTTAACACGTTCAATACTTCCTGAAAAGGTAAAGAGGAACTTGTTAGCTCGTTACATGACTCCTGGAATGGTTAAGAGGAACGCGGTAGCAGGTTACATGATTCCTGGAATGGTAAAGAGGAACGCGATAACAGGGTTCATGATTCCTGGAATGGTAAAGAGGAACGCGATAACAGGGTTCATGATTCATAAAAAGTAAATATACTGTTGTCAGGTCATTAAAGATTGCATATTTTGGCGTTAATATTGATTCACTTATAGGGTCTTTGCATCGGCACTAAACACATTTATTTAAAAACCAGTTGTTGGCATGACACGGGTTATGTTCTTCTCATATATGTTATGATGGTATGATACTAAACCCCTAACGGGAAGGATTGTGCCTGAAATTCATATGATGAAGACATAATCTTTCAATCAGTTTAATTGAAGTCTGGAGCTGGCATGTCAGTTAACTGCTAGTAGTCTGTTGTTATTTATGTATTATTGTCATTTTGTTTATTTTCTTTGGTTACATCTTCTGACATCAGACTCGGACTTCTCTTGAACTGAATTTTAATGTGCGTATTGTTATGCGTTTACTTTTCTACGTTGGCTAAAGGTATAGGGGGAGGGTTGAGATCTCATAAACATGTTTAACCCCGCCGCATTTTTGCGCCTGTCCCAAGTCAGGAGCCTCTAGCCTTTGTTAGTCTTGTATTATTTTTAATTTTAGTTTCTTGTGTACAATTTGGAGTTTAGTATGGCGTTCATTATCACTGAACTAGTATATATATTTGTTTAGGGGCCAGCTGAAGGACGCCTCCGGGTGCGGGAATTTCTCGCTGCATTGAAGACCTGTTGGTGGCCTTCTGCTGTTGTCTGTTCTGTGGTCGGGTTGTTGTCTCTTTGACACATTCCCCATTTCCATTCTCAATTTTATGAAGGTTTAAACATGTTACACAGTCCTTAGACAGGTTGAAAGAAACATATTAAGGGGTTACATGATTATTGGGGAGGTAAAAAGGAACATGTTAACAGGTTACATGATTATTGGGTAGGTAAAAAGGAACATGTTAACAAGTTTCATGCTTTGACATTTGTTTATTGTTTTAGGGTAAAGTGGTTCGACTCTGACTGCAATCAAAAGTCTGCCTTAGCAGCTACTGTGAGTGCCAAATCAAACTTTGAGCCGGACTTATTTCTGGGACCACCTTGCTCATCTGGTAAATATATTTATCTATATTTTCTAATAATTTGATATATCAGGTTAAAGATTGTTGGTTGATCACATAACCATTTTTAAAAAAAATGTATTAGTTGAAAATGAGGTTAAAACAATTTTTGCTTTGTTATTTGTTTGTGTAAAAAGGGGGGGATTCTTTTGCACTGACTTCTCTTCCGAATTAAATGTTTTCAAACTTAAGCAAATTCTTATTACATCTGAGCATGCCCCTTGTAAATTTTTATCATATTTAATTATACAACTTTAAGATAAATTTGCAAAGTTCGATCAGAACCATGTTATACTATATTTCATATAATATTAGACGATTCCTCTATATTGACCTCAAACAGATTGCCGTGCCGAAAATAGCTTCATTTTACAAAATCTTTTCTAACATGTGATACATTATTCAGCACCAAACACATTTTATTTCTAATGGTTTGTTCTTTTCCTATGTTATGCTCACACATTTCATATTTTATGGTTTATGGCTTTTTGAATTTTTATCTCCGAATGTGAGTGATGAAGGTTAGTTTCGTAGATACCTGACGTTTTGCTTATAAAATCTTGAATATCAAAATATGTTATTAACCTGTAATATATAATGACGGAGAAAACACAAAAGTTGAAGCAATAATGAAATTCAATGTACAATATTTTTTTATTTGTCATACAAGTCTTCAATAAAATGAAAAATACGTATTTTCTTTGAATCTGACATTAAATTTTATTTATCAACGTAAATTGTTTACAGACCATATTTCAAATTGAGGAACAAAAAGTTGATGTATACAGACACTTGAGCTGTGGTTATATGCTCCTATATTTGGTATATTGTTTTGATAGAAACAGACATTTGTGCTGTGGTTATGTGCTCCTATATTTGGTATATTGTTTTGATGTAAACAGACACTTGTGCTGTGGTTATGTGCTCCTATATTTGGTAAATTGTTTTGATGTATACAGACACTTGTGCTGCGGTTATATGCTCCTATATTCGGTATATTGTTTTGATGTATACAGACACTTGTGCTGCGGTTATATGCTCCTATATTTGGTATATTGTTTTGGTGTATACAGACACGTGTGCTGTGGTTATATGCTCCTATATTTGGTATATTGTTTTGATGTATACAGACACTTGTGCTGCAGTTATATGCTCCTATATTTGGTATATTGTTTTGATGTATACAGACACTTGTGCTGCGGTTATATGCTCCTATATTTGGTATATTGTTTTGGTGTATACAGACACTTGTGCTGTGGTTATATGCTCCTATATTTGGTATATTGTTTTAATGTATACAGACACGTGTGCTGAGGTTATATGCTCCTATATTTGGTATATTGTTTTGATGTATACAGACACTTGTGTTGCGGTTATGTGCTCCTATATTTGGTATATTGTTTTGATGTATACAGACACTTGTGCTGTGGTTATATGCTCCTATATTTGGTATATTGTTTTGATGTATACAGATACTTGTGCTGTGGTTATATGCTACTATATTTGGTATATTGTTTTGATGTTTACAGACACTTGTACTGTGGTTATATGCTACTATATTTGGTATATTGTTTAGATGTATACAGACACGTGTGCTGTGGTTATATACTCCTATATTTGGTATATTGTTTTAATATATACAGACACTTGTGCTGAGGTTATATGCTCCTATATTTGGTATATTGTTTTGATAGAAACAGACACTTGTGCTGTGGTTATATACTCCTGTATTTGGTATATTGTTTTGATAGAAACAGACACTTGTGCTGTGGTTATATGCTCCTGTATTTGGTATATTGTTTTGATGTATACAGACACTTGTGCTGTGGTTATATACTCCTATATTTGGTATATTGTTTTAATATATACAGACACTTGTGCTGAGGTTATATGCTCCTATATTTGGTATATTGTTTTGATGTATACAGACACTTGTGCTGTGGTTATATACTCCTATATTTGGTATATTGTTGTGATGTATACAGACACTTGTGCTGTGGGTATATGCTCCTATATTTGGTATATTGTTTTGATATATACAGACACTTGTGCTGCGGTTATATGCTCCTATATTTGGTATATTGTTTTGATGTATACAGACACTTGAGCTGTGGTTATATGCTCTAATATTTGGTATATTGTTTTGATGTATATGCTCCTATATTTGGTATATTGTTTTGATGTATATAGACACTTGTGCTGTGGTTATATACTCCTATATTTGGCATATTGTTTTGATGTATACATACACTTGTGCTGTGGTTATATGCTCCTATATTTGGTATATTGTTTTGATGTATACAGACACTTGTGCTGTGGTTATATGCTACTATATTTGGTATATTGTTTTGATGAATACAGACACTTGTGCTGTGGTTATATGCTCCTGTATTTTGTATATTGTTTTGATAACACTGAGTGTGACGTTACAACAGTGACTTTATCTAAAAGCTTTTACGTAATACTGACACTTTGAAAAATTATGTTCAAGTACATCAACTTTTCTTTAAAGCCAGAGGGAAATGCAATGTCAAAAACACATGTTTTTAGACTGAAAAATTGTTAAAAAGTCAAAGGTGGTTGTTTATAATGTCTGATATGGGGCTGTACGTAGAAAATTATAATCATTTGGCTGACTTTATGTTATTTGATAAAGAAAATAAAGAATTTTCACTCATTTCATGCGCAGTCAAACTGTAAATTTTCTTCTATTTTCATGTTATAAAATAATCAATCAGCACTTAAGATAAGACATGCTAATTCAGCATATATATGTACACTGGCGAACAAATATGTACTCTTTACGCGCGGTAAGAAAATAGTTAAACGGCAATGTGCCCAACTCATTCCATTCTTTCTAGGGTTAAGGTTGAACGGTAATGTGCCCTAATAATTCGTTTCTTTCTAGAGTTTAGGCTGAACAGTAATGTGCCCTAATCATTCTTTTCTTTCTAGAGTTTAGGTTGAACGGTAATGTGCCCTAATCATTCTATTCTTTCTAGGGTTTAGGTTGAAAGGCAATGTACCTTAATCATTCTTTTCGGTCTAGGGTTTAGGCTGAACGGCAATGTGCCCTAATCATTCTTTTCTTACTAGGGTTTAGGTTGACAGGCAATGTACCCTAATCATTCTTTTCTTTCTAGGGTTTAGGTTGAAAGGCAATGTACCCTAATCATTCATTCTTTTCTTTCTAGGGCTTAGGTTGAACGGCAATGTGCCCTAATCATTCTTTTCTTTCTAGAGTTTAGGTTGAACGGCAATGTGCCCTAATCATTCTTTTCTTTCTAGGGCTTAGGTTGAACGGCAATGTGCCCTAATCATTCTTTTCTTTCTAGAGTTCAGGTTGAACGGCAATGTGCCCTAATCATTCTTTTCTTTCTAGAGTTTAGGTTGAACGGCAATGTACCCTAATCATTCTTTTCTTTCTAGAGTTTAGGTTGAACGGCAATGTGCCCTAATCATTCTATCCTTCTTAGAGTTTAGGTTGAAAGGCAATGTGCCCTAATCATTCTTTTCTTTCTAGAGTTTAGGTCGAACGGCAATGTACCCTAATCATTCTATCCTTTCTAGAGTTAAGGTTGAACGGCAATGTACCCTAATCATTCTTATCTTTCTAGGGTTAAGGTTGAACGGCAATGTACCCTAATCATTCTTTTCTTTCTAGGGTTAAGGTTGAACGGTACGGAAGCCCATTTAGGACCTCCCAAAAATATATATTTGAATTCGAAATCACGAATTTAAATCGTTATCACGAATTGATGAATTCGTTATAACAGATTAAATTCGTGATAACTAAGTTCTGGAATTAGTTATAACAGTTTTTATAATTTGTTATTACGAATTAAATTCGTCATCACATTTTTTTCCAATTCAGGATAACGGATTAAAATCGTAATAACGATTTTTTTAATCGTGATAACAAATTGTTTAAATCGTTATAACGGATTTAAATTGTTATCACGAATTCGTAGAAATAGTAATCACTTTTTTTGTAATTCGTGATAACGGATAAAAATCGTAATAATGATTTTCATAAATATTTATAACGGATTAAATTAGATTTCACGAATTCGTATAAATAGTTCTCACGAATTTAATTATACAATTTATTATAACGATTTTTTAAACCGTAATTACGAATGACAAAAATCAGTGATAACAAGTTTAATCACTAATCAATGATTACCAAAAACTTATGATAACAAATTACACACATTCGTGAAAACGAATTAAATAGGTGATACCGAATTATACAATTTGTTATAACGATTTTAATCCGTTATTACGAATTACAAAAAAATGTGATAACGAATTTAATCCGTTTTTACGACTTACAAAAACTGTTATAACTAATTCCATAATTTCGTGATAACGAATTAATCTGTGTTTTGTGTACTGTTGTTTGTCTTTTCTTTTGTCTTTTCGTTTTTCGTTTTTACAATGACATTGTCAGTTTGTTTTTTTCGACTTATAAGTTTGAATATTTCTTTGGTATCTTTCGCCTCTATTTTAGCATAATTCATTAATACAGTCCTATTTCATACCTTGTAAGCTATGAGAGATTAAGCTATAAGTTCTTTAAGATAATCATATTTCATACCTTGTTAGATTTGAGAGATTTAGCATAGTTCTTTACTATAATCATACTGTATATTTTGTTAGCTATTAGAGATTTAGAATTGTTCTTTATCATAATCATATTGTATACTTTATAAGGTATGAAAGATTTAGCATAGTTCTTTAATATAATCATATTCTGTACTTTGTTAGGTATGAGATATTTAGCATAGTTCTTTAGTATAATCATTTTGTACACTTTTTAAGCTATTAGAAGTTAAGCACAGCTCATTAATCAAGACAATTCACTTTTATAAGTTATGATATATTTTATACTTTGTTAGCTATGGAAGATTTAGCATAATTCTTTAAGATAATCATGTTCTTTAAGATATCATATTTTATACTTTTTAAGCTATTAGAAGTAAAGCACAGGTCATTAATCCAGACAATTCTCTTTTTTAAGCTATGAGAGGAGTAGCACAATTAGCTTCTTACTGGAGAAGACCTGTATTTGGTTGGGTGTCCAACGATATCGAATTCCGTAACAGAACAATATATTCCACATTAATCCGATTGCTCGGACCTTTAAACAAACTTCGTAAGTATTTTAAGTATCTCATTTGGTGTCTCTAGAGTCTTGAACGTGTCTTTGTTCTAGTTAACTTTGGACCTCCCAACTTGTGATTATAGAAATTGTTTGAATTGTTGATGCAACTTTTTTTGATACTACACAGAATGTTTCTGCAGTTCTACATAATATTTGTACGGACTTCATACAATGAACTTGTTAACGTTACTGACCTCATACAATAAACAGGTTTAAGTTACTGACTTCATACAGTAAACAGGTTTAGGTTACTGACCTCATACATACAACAGGTTTAAGTTACTGACTTCATACACACAACAGGTTTAAGTTACTGACTTCATACAATAAACAGGTTTAAGTTACTGACTTCATACATACAACAGGTTTAAGTTACTGACTTCATACAATAAACAGGTTTAAGTTACTGACTTCATACAGTAAACAGGTTTAAGTTACTGACTTCATACAATAAACGGGTTTAAGTTACTGACTTCATACAGTAAACAGGTTTAAGTTTCTGACTTCATACATACAACAGGTTTAAGTTACTGACTTCATACATACAACAGGTTTAAGTTACTGACTTCATACAATAAACAGGTTTTAGTTACTGACTTCATACAATAAACAGGTTTAAGTTACTGACTTCATACATACAACAGGTTTAAGTTACTGACTTCATACATACAACAGGTTTAAGTTACTGACTTCATACAGTAAACAGGTTTAGGTTACTGACTTCATACATACAACAGGTTTAGGTTACTGACTTCATACAATAAACAGGTTTAAGTTACTGACTTCATACAGTAAACAGGTTTAAGTTACTGACTTCATACAATAAACAGGTTTAAGTTACTGACTTCATACACACAACAGGTTTAAGTTACTGACTTCATACAATAAACAGGTTTAAGTTACTGCAATATAGAGGAAGTTTTTTTTCATTCAAATTGAAATTATTGGAAAGAAGAAGTTTTATAATTGGATATCTCAATACATAGTACTTAGACCACGGACTGCATTACCACAGTGGTGATGATTGGATATCTAAGATATAGTACTTAGACTATGGACTGCATTAACATAGTGTTGATAATTGGATATCTCAATACATAGTACTTATACCACAGACCACATTAGAGTACTCAGACCACGGACTGCATTAGGATATTTAGACCACGGACTGCAGTAGGATATTTAGACCACGGACTGCATTAGGATATTTAGACCACGGACTGCATTAGCATAGACGTGATAAGATTTTGCTAATATATTTAAATTGTTATATATATAAAGAGTTGCATTTCTTGACCATACAAAAAACATCATCTTGATTTGTTTTCAGAGAAATGAGTCGGCGAAACAAAAACGTAAAACTAAAATACAGATCAATAAAAAGTCTTATAGTTACTCCATTAACGGATTTATTGTTGTTGTTGTTTTTTTTTTTTTAAATCTCATGAACTTATCATGCAAAAAGAAATCAATTTCATTTTCTATATTAAACACTAAAACATGGGATATTACATTTAATGTTTCATGAAAATTACATGAATATTAAATGGTTGATATGTTGATTTTTTTTTGGTGTTTAATGCCACTTTCAGCATTTTTGGCTACTTCGTGGCGGTCATTTTTCCGGAGAGAAACACCGGTCTTCGACAGGAAAACTGACAATTCTAAACAATAAATATTAGAGTGCACCTTCTACGTGTGCATGTATATTAAACATCGCCGCGATATAGCCTTGTTGTGCTAATGCGGCGTAAAGCAACCAACAATCAATCAATCAATATATTAAACATTTATTCTTTATACTTTCAGCCAATGTGATGCGTTATGTTTCAAAGATGTTTAAATGGAAAAGATTTTCTATGATCCACGACGAGGCTGCACCGTATGTTGCTGTAGCAGCTGCCATTGCAGAAAATAAAGATACGACCATAAAAAGTACACATGAAGTTAGCGTACGGATGGATGATACTCATATCGAAAGTATATTCCAGCAAGTTCGTAAATACTCAAGAAGTAAGTCTCTCTTCATTGATATCCGAAATATATTTGAATAACTTGAAGCTATGAGGTCTTGGTTATCAGGCACTCATTTTGAATAAGTTAAGACTTGATATCAAATACCCAATCCGAATAAGGTTAGACCTGAAATTAGATACTTTTGAATAAGTCGAGACTGACTTCAGACACCCTTTCTAAGTAAGGTTAGATTTGGTTTTCAGACACTCCTTCAAAATTAATCAAGGCTTGATATCGAACACTCATTCTAAACATTTTGATATTTGATATCAGATGCCGTAGATCAGAAAATTTTGGCGGGTCTTGTTTTCCATCCACTAAATCGAGTCTCAATTACCTGTTTCCCTCTTTAAGTGGTTAGTTTTCCCACCGAAGGTGTTGGTTTTCTCTGGGTTGATTTGCTTCCTTGAAACCAATACAAACGGTTGGGTCTCTCTGGTTCTCTGGCTTCCTCAACCAATACAAACTGTTGGTTTTCTCCTGCTTCTCTGCCTTCCTCAACCAGGGTTCTCTGTCTTCCTCAACCAATATAAACTGTTGTTTCTCTTCGGGTTCTCTGGCTTCATCAACAAATATAAACTGTTAGTTTTCTCCGGGTTCCCTGGCTTCCTTAACCAATACAAGTTGTTGGTTTTCTTCGGGTTCTCTGGCTTCATCAACCAATATAAACTATTGTTTCTCTTCGGGTTCTCTGGCTTCATCAATCAATATAAACTGTTGTTTCTCTTCGGGTTCTCTGGATTCATCAACCAATATAAACTATTGTTTCTCGCCTGCTTCTCTGGTTTCATCAACCAATATAAACTGTTGTTTCTCTACGGCTTCTCTGGCTTCACCAACCAATATAAACTGTTTTTTCTCTTCGGGTTCTCTGGCTTCATAAACCAATATAAACTGTTAGTATTCTCCGCGTTCCCTTGCTTCCTTAACCAATACAAGATGTTGGTTTTCTCCGGGTTCTCAACCAATCCAAGCTGTGTGTTCTCTCCATGTTCTCTAGCTTCGTTAACCAATACATACTATAAGTTCTCTCCGGGTTTTCTTGCTTCCTCAACCAATACAAGCTGTTGGTTCTCTCCTGGTTCTCAAGCTTCCTCAAACAATACGAATTGTTGGTTTTCTCCGGTTCCATGGCTTTCTCACCAATAATAATCGTTGGTTTCTCCTTGTTCCCAGGCTTCGTCAAGCAATACACACTGTTTGGATCTCTCCAGGTTTTATGGCTTTGTCGACCTGCACAAAATGTTGGGTAGTCTATGTATTGTGGACTTGGGCACAGGTATTTTGCCCCCTGGGTTAATCTTCCGTTTGTAAGAGCGTTAACAATATCAACTTTCTTCTCTCTACAGAAGTATAATGTAATGAAACTCATGATTAGAGTGCTATTTTTTTTTTAGATTTTTGTAAAAATTCCATAAAGGTTTGACAAATTGGCAGGATCTGCTTACCCTTCTAGAGCACCTGAGATCACCCCCAGTGTTTGGTGGAGTTCGTGTTGCTCAGTCTTTAGTTTTCTATGTTGTTTCTTGTGTACTATTGTTTGTATGTTTGTCTTTTTCTTTTTTAGCTATGGCTATTTATTTATTTTCGACTTATGAGTTTGAATGTCCCTTTGGTATCCTTCGCCTCTCCTTGGTTTGAGCTGTGATTGTTTTCATTTAAGATTGTGCCTCAATCTTGACTGTCAAACAACTACTATAAGATAAGGAGATATGGATGATTGCATTGAGACAACCATCAATCAGAGTCCAAATAACGTGGATTCAAATTAGTTTGTTAGTAAAATACAGAAAAATGAGGGGTGTGTAAAATTTGAGTCTAGATGGTAATCCTTCATTATGGAGAAGCTTGGGTAAAAGTTTCCTGAAATTCAATGGAAATTTTAAAAAGTTATTCTTTATTGATGTTTTAAAAACTTTAACCCTACACTGTATATAAACATTAACTCTTTAATACAATAAGATATCAACATACATTAAATTTTCATTTGATCATGCATACAATTCTGTCTAAATTTCATAAAAAACTATGAACGTTTGACGAAGCTATTGAAGGGTCATTTCATTGTAAACCGCAAAAATGAAAAATAATCTATTTTGTATTAAAATACCGAAAAATAAAATCCAAATTCACAGTTTTGCTCCAAATGGTGTCTCTTGATAAAAAAAGAAGCTTCAGTCCAATTGTCATAAGATTCCAGGAATGCTTAACAAAGTTATTGATATCTGACAAACTTTAATCAAAGACCGAACCTAGAGATTGATGACGACGCCAACGACTCGACGGAATGTAGGATCCCAATGTCTCGACTTCGCAACTTTAGTTGCAGACTAGACAAAAGCCATTATTGAAGAAATGTTCTTAAATTAAAATCGATAATAATATTGCACAAATTTTTAAATTCATGAGAAACTATGAAGCTAAATATAAAATTCAAAACGGAAAGTCCCTTAACAATTGGTAACACAGCATAAGAACAAACTGTAAAAATCAGTAGCAATTGGCTTAACTTAAAACTGAGATCGGTACACGTAACAAAACAACTTACAAACACAATAGACACAAAGCATCGACATGAGAGTACTCGCTTGTTCAACGCTGATTGCAACTTGTGAATAAATCATGTTCTCCAAGTATAAAGTATCAATCAATACAAATACAACGGATTGAGTTAGAGACGTCATAAATAGTCTAAGAAACGCTGTTTTAAAAGATAAGAGAAAAAGTAAATTTTGTCTTATTATGGTGTAATGGAATAAATCTGAGTTAAGAAATGTGTACTAGTAATAGTTTCAGATAAGAAATGTATACTAGTATAATTTCAGATAAGAAATGTTAGTAATAGTTTCAGATAAGACATGTATACTAGTAATAGTTTTATACGAGTAATAGTTTCAGATAAGACATGTATACTAGTAATAGTTTCAGATAAGACATGTATACTAGTAATAGTTTCAGATAAGAAATGTATACTAGTAATAGTTTCAGATAAGACATGTATACTAGTAATAGTTTCAGATAAGACATGTATACTAGTAATAGTTTCAGATAAGACATGTATACTAGTAATAGTTTCAGATAAGACATGTATACTAGTAATAGTTTCAGATAAGAATGTATGATTCTATATGCTACATAAAAAGTTAAACATTTATATACAGTTACTGTAAACCAACTAATTTTCGTGAACGATTTATTTTCGCGACTTTCGCGAGTAGAAAAATAACGCGAATATAAATCGTCGCGAATATGTAAAACTTGGATCTTTCCTTATTAAACTACATCAAGTTAATTAGAAAATCGCGTAATTGAATAGCCGCGAAGTAGACAAAAAGTGTTAAACGCCAAATAAAGTAGTCGCGAAAATAAGTTGGTTTACAGTATATTAGAGTTATACTTACTAACATTTATTTTGTTATTTATTTGTGTAAATCCTGTCCATGCTTATTCATTGCGTTGCATAATGCCATGCTTTGTTCATGCTGTTTATGGCCTCTATACACTACATTTGTTGGGTGTGCAATTATTGAAATTGAAGTCTGGTAAGAACTGATTTATACAGCGACCTTTAATTTGTTTTTGAGCCTAGTGTCGGTCTGATCAGTCAAGCAATTTCTAAAGGATTTTACAATTTGTTCTTATCTACTTAGTATTGCTATTACACCACTGTTTCAGTTTAAGGGAAGGATAACCGTTAAGAAGCCACATTCTTTATTACACGCATTGTCTCATTGTGTTATCGATTTATTTAGACATTGACTTAACAAGCAAAGAAACTAGCATCGTAATAGATAGCTCAAACACAATGAGCGTTTTAGTAAATATTTACAACAAGGGGGAAATATAGATATTCTCATTGTGAAAATTTTTTTAAAATCACATATAATAAATATTAGACAAGAAGATTCATGTGGTGCTTTGTGAAAAAGTGGCGGAATATATCGAATAGAGAATCAAAGCTATTCTATGTTTTGTAATAAATGGTTTTTGTTTTCTTTGGAACAACCAGCGACTCTTTTCACTAAAAATCTTACGACTAAAATCGATCGTAAGTATACTGAAATATGTATGACTAAGTTTTTTGTGAAAAGAGTCGCTGGACTTTAAAAGAACGTTGATCTTTATAAAAAAAAAAATGAACCAATAGTAGTGATGTCAATAATTATCTTTACGTACTTTTAATGCTTTACGGTGTTACTACTTTTCAGTTTTGATATTTGCTGTTCCTAAACACACATTAAGAAGGTATATGATCGTCGCACATAGACTTGGGATGTCCAGTGGTGATTTTGCTTTTTTATGCATTCATGGAGATGTAAGTATACAACCTTGGCTTTCAATATTTTGGTTTAAAGCGTTTTTGATGAAGGGAAATAAGAAAAAAGCGCTTCGGACGCATAACATTAATAGAATGTTAATTTCATTCACTTTCATAAGAAAGTGTTTATTACAAATAAAACAGATCAGTTGATATTTATTTAAAGTATTTTCCTCGAAATATCGTACAAGAAAAAGGAAAACGATACAAAAGAAGTACCCGAAAATTGAAAAAGAAGATAACAATAGTCTATAAAATAAAAAAAACAACAACAACAAAGTATAACAATCTGAACCGACTAAAATCTGAAGATGTACTTAGGTATGATCTTCGTAAGCGTAAGCGGTTCCTGTTTTACTAATGGTTATATGAACAAATCGATGTGTTGGTCGTGAAAGGCTAGAACATATTTCCAGAAAGTTTCAAGACAAATTCCGGGTTACAAAATGAATTAGTAGGGTGGTCGTAGTTTCTAGGTCAACTAAACATATTCATGGCAAATAAAACATGACTGTATTACAAACATTTTGCAAAACATTTGGGAATTGTTTGTTTTCAGTGGTATTCAATAACGTATATGATTTGGTCTTCGAACTGTTTTGATTCAGGCGCCAATGCCAAATTTTATGTATTATTTATTTATATTAGTGTATGGCGTACGAAATCATAAGCTTGGTTTGCTTGTGGAGTTTTTACATGTGTTTCTTTCTATATTCCTATTTCAGTTATATACATGGAAACAATTGAACGACGAAGTCTTAACAGACGACGTATGGCGTAAAAATGATAAAGACGACCAAGGCGCAAGGCAAGCATTTGAATCTGTTTTACATGTAAGTGTATACCCTCTAGTCCAATAGAAGTAGGTTCTTTATACTGAAGACTTGATCACTTTGATAGGCCACTAGTCTAAATGCCACATGTTAAGATAGTCGGTAAAATAAATTCGTTACACAGTGTGCTAGTGACCTAATACGAAATATATGGAATCAATAAATTCCATATGGGGTTTGACCTTCGCTCTCACCCCATATGGAATTTACTGAACCCATTTATATCGTATTAGGTCACTACCACGCTATGTAACTAATAATATACGCATTTTAAGCGCAGATCATTTATTACTACTATAAATTATTTTTTATTCATTATTAATCAAATAATTATTTTTTAATTTCGATTTGTGTATTGAAACAATTATTATTATTTGGAACATATATGTCTGATTTGGTTTTACACCCTCTAAATTATTTGACCTTTTTTGACATAAAACTTTGAAAATTTGTAAATGGATATTTGAAGTCAATTCTTAAAGTAGCTAATAGAATATCAATGACAATAATACTTTTTGTTATATCTTAGCACTTGAAGAAAAATTACTTTGGAAACAATCCATTCTTTATTTTGTTAAGGAGCATTATGACTGAAAAAGACAGCCACAAATAAAAGCGCTAGGTCAAAGAAATTTATTTTGGAATCAAACTCTAATATATTTCTATAAATATATCTTATGTTATTATTCTTATTGTTAAAGAATCATTAGAAGCTAATTTAACATTTCTTAAGTTACTAAAAAAAATCTTAAAAATCGTTCATTCATACCTTTCAGAAAATAAAAAAAATATTAAAATATAAAATTAAAGAGTTTGTTTTTGATAAATATGTAAAATTTACTATAAATATTTCATAAATCATGATTTCACATATAAACTTTGTCTTTATGTAAAGCTTAAAACTAATTGTCAATGTGGGGAACATTCAAAGTGCAATAATTTAACGTATACACAACTGTATGTTATGAATTGAAATGATTTGTATTCAATTGCCAATAGATGAATATCATTTTTCTTTTGATATTAATGTCTCATTACGTTCATTTTGTGTTGGCTAATTATCGTAGGGACAAAATTCAATCATTTTAAGATCTTAAACAATTTTATAAATTAGAACACAATCTTATTCCCCACCCTGAACATGTTTGTCATATTGATTATGTAACAAACAGTCTTTAGAGCTAAGGGCATCAGACCCGTTTCTGTCATGGTACTGATACTTCTACTTTGTAATAAATATCCCCTTACCTTTATGTATCTAGTCAGATGTCTTTAGAACTGAGGGCGTCAGACCCGTATTTGACCTGATACTGGTACAACAACATTGTTATAAATATCAATTTACATTTGTTCAACTCGTTAGATGTCTTTCAAACTAAGGGTGTCAGACCCGTTTCTGTCCTGATACTGGTACTATTACATTGTAATAGATCTCATCTTACATTTGTGTATCTAGTTAGATCTCTTTAGAACTAAGGGTGTCATACCTGTTTCTGTCCTGATACTGGTACTATTATATTGTAATAGATTACTTACAATTGTGTATCTAGTTAGATCTCTTTAGGACTATGGGCGTCAGACCCGTTTCTGTCATGATACTGGTACTTCTACATTGTAAAAGATATCACCTTACATTTGAGTATCTAGTTAAATGTCTAACTAAGGGCGTCAGACCCGTTTTTGTCATGATACTGGTACTACTACATTGTAATAAATATCATCTTACATTTGTGTATCTAGATAGATGCTGATTATTTGCAGTCATGTACATGTACCTATTTAATTGTTATATGATTGACCCTTTTGGTGGCGCAATGGCGATCATGTATATTACTCAGATTGTTATTCAGCATTTAAACTAATATTTGTCTTGATTTCTTTGTATTTTAGATAATTATGCCGACTTTAAGTGAAAAGTTATCGGAACAGTTTAATCATTTGGTGAATAAAATGAAAGATGTAGAAAATAACAACTGGATCAATCTGCCGCCCGTCTCAGCGGTAAGTGAATAAAATAAATAAAATAACAATCAACTCAAACTAACAGAGAAGTGTTATCTCTGGACAATGACCAGATAGACATTTTTATTGCCACTTGTTTAAGAAATAATACATGGCAGCCGAAAATATTTCTCTCTTGATAAAATAATCGAATATAAATGTCCAATCCATGGTAAAATGAAAACAAATCTACGGCTGCCTTGAATTAATTCGATTGTAAAGGGAAAAGAAACAAAAAAAGTTATATTATTCATAATGAATAAAACATACGTAAAACGTGGGTTTACTGTCGCAAATTGAGTTTACCTCGTATAAATAAGGTTGGCGAAACACGGAACAGCCAATTTTGTGTGTTAATGCGTTTGCGCTAATAGTAGAAATACTGTGATTATATTTGTTGACGAAATTTAGGTCGTCATATCAGAATAATTATTTTAAACTGTAGATTGTTGATTTATATGTGTCAATTACGTTACCGAAATTATTGATTTTACTTTACAATTATGTGGTGAAAACAAGTGTGGTGAAAACAAGTGTGGTGAAAACTAGTGTGGTGAAAACAAGTGTGGTGAAAACAAGTGTGGTGAAGATCTTCTGTTATCATGTTAATCTGTAGTAGTCAATAATGGTTTTTATATGAGAAAGCTTGCACTCCAGGAATCAATCATTATCAATAAGTTACTATACGTTACATTTCAGCAATAACCATACAATTTCCCAAATCAAAAAAGATAATTCATAAAATTTTAAGGCATATCAAATATAAACTTCACTGGTTTGCTACTTGCCATCTAACCCTAAACAAGCTCCCGGAATCAGGAATCTGACATTAACCTTATAGTTTCAATCAATGTTTTGATGGAACTGAAGATACCAACTTATTTATTACTTTAAAAAATGAATTTCAATATGCATAAAAACTGTATCACATGAAAAAGTGTCGTATCTGATGTATTCAAGTAAAGAAAGATACAACTTCAAAGAATGGGTGACGATTTTTATTTACGTTATTTTTCACTCACATGAGTCGCATAAATATATCGCTCGATAAAATAACTTTGCTTGCAGTATCATGAATTATAACTACTTTTATTCGTTGAATCAATGTGACATCGGACATTGAAAACTATAATTAGGTATATTAAACTTTGGCGAGTGCACACTGATGTTTTTTTCTTTCTTATAGTCTGATGCATACGCTCCATACCTGTATGACGCAACGTTAACCTGGGCTATAATGGTGGATAAGATAATGAAAGAAAATAAAGATCCATCAGACGGTGACATCATGTTTAAACGAGCAGTTAACTTTTATCAAGAAGGTAGTATCTAGTTTTGCGATTTCCTCACCAAGATTATTACATTATACAAATAAAGGCAACAGTAGTATACCGTTGTTCGAAATTCATAAATCGATTGAGAAAAAACAAATCCGGGTTACAAACTAAAACTGAGGGAAACACATCAAATATAAGAGGAGAACAAAGACACAACAGAAACACTAAAATGCAACACACACAGAAACGAACTATAAGATAACAATAGCCATTTTCCTGACTTGGCACAGGACATTTTAAGAAAAAATGGTGGGTTGAACCTGGTTTTGTGGCTAGCCAAACCTCCCGCTTTAATGGCAAAGTTAAATATAACACTACGTGAGAAATGTACATATAATATTTAAGTTCACAATACGTCTGGAATAGCTTTCTAATATGTTCATCTCAGAGCGAGTTGATTTTAAGTGGAAAATATTATAAATATACATTTATTTTTTTTCATTTTTGAATCAATTTTTTTTAAATTTCCATGAAAGAAGATACACATTTTCGTCTGAGAATTATTTTCTGGTATACAAGATACTCAATTGTTATATTGAGATTTAGGTATTCTTCAGAACTTTTATTGTGTTTTTTTTTGCATTTGATTTCTTGAAATTTTTTTTCGTCAACAAAAAGATATATGATATATTTGTTTACTGCCTTTATATAGAGTATAACGTGGACATTTGGTATCATGGTCAATAACAATAGTCTTTCAGATGACTAGTATTCAATTATATTTGTTTTACCTATTCTTTTTCTTCTAATCGTAGCATAGCAAATGAATACATATATACCGGTATGGGTGATTATATTTGAATCGTTCTTTGCTTTTATCTACGAAATCCATTGAAAGTTCCATTAAATTAATCATCCTTCAGCGGTTTGAGTATACCTCATAGCTGCACAATATATAAGTTCAAGACCTCTTCCAATTAGAGTAGTAATTACAATGGGAATTTTATAAAAATACATATCAACATGTACAAACTTGTAGTATACAATGTAGTGAGCCATATGCATCAATGTATTCATTTTTATGCTTAAATCTGAACGTGAAATTTTCTCTGAGAAATAGATTAATTGTAATTAGTGAAGATTTTCCATAGAGGCCAAGTCTCTTTTAAGGTAGAAACCCAACACAATAACATCGATGGGAATCAAAGCATTGTCTTTAGTAATATTTTACTGACATCGTTAATGCATGTTTAGTTTTAAACTTCAGGTTTAACAAATTTCATCGTATTAGATGCAGAGGGTTACAGATTTAGTTTTGTCATTCAGGTATAACAAATTTCATCGTATTAGATGCAGAGGGTGACAGATTAAGTTTTGTACTTCAGGTTTTACAAATGTCATCGTATTAGATGCAGAGGGTGACAGATTTAGTTTTGTACTTCAGGTTTAACAAATTTCATCGTATTAGATACAGAGGGTGACATATTTAGTTTTGTACTTCAGGTTTAACAAATTTCATCGTATTAGATGCAGAGGGTGACAGATTGTGTTTTGTACTTCAGGTTTAACAAATTTCATCGTATTAGATGCAGAGGGTGACAGGTTGTTGAACTTCTGGATGCTTGACATGCAAGAAAACGGACGATTTCAGAGAATTATCGAAATTAAATATGGAAAGATTGACGTCGTTGCAAATACGGTAGGTTGAATAACAGCGATAATAAATTCATCCATTTTTTTTTCGTTTTGTGTTATTTTGAATAAATGTCTCATTACGCATGTTTATTCAAAGACTATAAAACAATGGTGTTAACCTTACACTCAAATGCATCCAATCATTTGGAATGATTTCCTTTTTGATAGTTCATACAATTTTAACAGTTCAAATAATAATGGAACAGATTAGTAATTAGACAGTTACAAACAAACACAAACAAACTAAATACTCTAAATTTTTATATGAACCATACAATTAAACTCTCATGAAAATAGCCTTGTTATCAAGTTTATAAGCATATGTGACACATTTTTATCCTGTAAAAATTGAGTACATTTTTTTTAATAAAATTATAGACTCAGAGTGGAGATAAATTGGTTCGATGGGCTAATGGAAAATACGGACTGCATAATGCTCCTCCTGATGTGCCCGCATGTGGATTTGAAAATGAACATTGTCGGGAAGGTAATAATTCTTTTAAAGAATATCAAAGATTTATTACATGAAGTATAGAAATTTCACTTGCAAAATTTCGTTTGCCATCAACAAAATCTGAAGTAAAACCTTCGGCGTCAATGCCAACAACGTTCATACCCATTCTCGAAAAATTTGTTACACTTGAGTTAGAATACTTTGATGAACAAAACGATCTGGAATAGCTAATCACTGTTTTAAAACCAAATTGTAATTTTTTTTCTAACCGAGTGTTTGGTATAATGTTTTACGTCCTTGTTAAAATTTTCCTTGCAAAAATATTCAAAAACATCTTTGTGAACAGGGGAAAATTTTTATATTTTGTATTTATAATATGTGGTAAGAATTAAAAGCAGAGAAACCAACCGATGTATTGTAATACAAGAAAGGGTGAATAGAAAACAGAATGCCCCATTTTAGCAATATAAGAAGATATGACCGATGGAGAGATAAACATAATGAAACAATCATAAAATGACAGCAAACAGCCATTAGAAAACCGAGGAAAAGAAAAAAAAACATCATTCTACAAAACACTTACAAAGACATTTGCTGTAATCGATCCCCAACAAAACTTGAGAGGTCAGCTTACATGGCATGAAAGGAATACAGTTCTTGTTTTACATTCACCATCACGATCTGGTTGAACGATACAAAGTGTCAGTTTCTCATTTCTCTAGCGAACTGTTTTCCAGGTCTTATTTCTTAAGTTACTCAAAGAGTCGATTGATAAATTTACCGATTGTGACAGGTTATGTATCCATAGCTTTGAGACACTTACCATGTTGTCGCACCAGGTTATGTATCCATAGCATGAGACACTTCCAATGTTGTCCCACTAGGTTATGCATCCTTAGCACGAGACACTTCCCATGTTGTGGCACCAGGTTATGCATTCTTAGCATGAGACACTTCCCATGTTGTCGCACCAGGTTTTCCTCTGTTTTCAAGTTCATGCGATTCAATTTTTTAGCTTGATTTGTATTTTTTAATTGATTTATGAGATTTGAACTTCGGTAAACTGATGTCTTTTATTTCCTCCTGCTGTCTTCTGTAGTTCTGACACGTGATTTGTTGGTTACTTCTGTTTGTTAACTCCTTTGTAGTTCTTACTTATGGTTAATAGCTTGACATTTGGGAGAAACAGATATGAAAAAAGTTGATATGAAACAGCCACCCATCAACACAAAAAGTCAAACGATATATAGAAAAACAATAATACACAAGTAACACAATATGTCAAGCTCTTAAGTAAACCTTTAAAAGATTTCAATTAAAATGATAGAGTCTAGAAAAGTGTCGAATATAAAAGATCTTTGGACTCGTGATATAACCATTTATACACAAGCCAGAAATGTTGTATATAAAGTAATAGCCTTAAAAGCATGCAGCATCATTCGCATGAGGCTTTCAACCTTTAATAGTAGAAAATTTAAAAATAAATGTGCATATTTAGTGACGGGTACTCTAAAGATTATATCAGTTATATTTAGATATCTTTGTTTGTCAACTATAATAATTATTTAATTTGTTCAATTTATGCCTATAGTGTGTACAGTCAAAGCCTCACATAAACACAAAATGTCTTGTCGAATTTCTTAAGTAAAATAGTGTAAACCTGTCAAATGATTTTAAGTCTGTGCTCAATACACAGCCCCTTAAAAACCTTTAGCAGGTAAGTTCCCGACCATATATACGAAGAACATACAAATCGCGGGCATTGCAACTTTTGTTTAAGCACAATTGAATACCTTTTCGAACTAGAATTTCTCCTACAAAATGTATTATTTAATGCATGTCAGAAATGCTGATCTGTCTTCATGCCCTATCAGTTTACCTGCAATAGTAAAACCATGTATATATTTTACCTCCAAACGGAACCAGTGCTTAGCTTTTTAATATTGATTTCAATTTGCGCTGATTAGGAATATTGTTTTTTATGTGAACATTTTGATAATTCCAGATATTGCCTCCTGTAAATTACTTGTTTCCTTCATTTTAGTAAGCTGACGTTGAATTTAAATATAGAGGCCGAAATACGATGCTGAACGTTCAATTGTAATAAGCATTTTAAATAAATTTATGGTTTATTCAGCATTAAGCGGTGCCTGAATTGTTAAATGAAAATGGTTGACTATCTTTTTCTCATTTTAGATTTTACCAACACAATAGTAGGCGCTGTATGTGGGTCATCTTTTGTTCTTGTTGTAGCAATTATTATAAACATTGTGTTCAGGTAAGTAATGTATATATTTTAACATTTAGAAATTTCATGGAATATTATTCTTTAATATCGGAAGGTGGCAATTTTACATTGTTTATATAGTACTTTTGCATTTTACATACAAAGGAATTAATAATGTGCGATTTAAGGACCCGACCACTCGCGTAGAATAATGCACCTACTATTTGTAAACAGGAAAGGTAGGTGAATTAGAAAATAAGTGATACATGTGTCAATGGAATAAAAGTGACCCATGCGTCAATAGAATAATGGACACATTTACCAATGCGTAATCATTTCTGATAAGATAAAAAGGCATTCATTGAATTAGAAGCAACGATAATTCACCGATGTTCTTATTTCTTAATTTTTTAACACATATTTCTCACTTGTTTGTCCATGATGTGCTAGCGTTTATTGTTTATAAAAAGTCCAACACAACCTTTACAATCCAAAAAACTCGTTCTGAGTCACTAAAGCTGAGCACACCATAGAATATGTACTTTAATTCATATTATTTACTTTTTTTTAAAACAATATTATTATTTATAATTTTTTTTAAATAAATCGTTGCTAGCACTGTATACAACGATCCTCTATATATTAAGGAACAGATATATGTACAAGGGAAAAGTCTGTGGATGTTTTATAAAACTTTCATATGTTAAGCTTTGAGAACAGAACAGATATAAGTACAAGGGAAAAGTCGGTGGATGTTTTATAAAACCTTCATATGTTAAGCTTTGGGAACCGAACAGATATAAGTAAAAGGGGAAAGTCTGTGGATGTTGTATAAAACTTTCATATGTTAAGCTTTGAGAACCGAACAGATATAAGTACAAGGGAAAAGTTTATGGATGTTTTATAAAACTTTCATATGTTAAGCTTTGAGAACCGAACAGATATAAGTACAAGGGAAAAGTCGGTGGATGTTTTATAAAACTTTCATATGTTAAGCTTTGAAACAACAAAAGGGTACGTAATCCTTAAGAACATACAAATCAAGGTAAAAGACAAAACTGGGAATATTAAATGCACTCCAAATAAGAAGCGAAACCGGGTACGTCGACAGAATAAGCGTATACTGCTTTGCTTATACCCCTGCCATGCATATCCACACTCAGTCAAAATGTCAAAATCGGGACAAGGACACAATTTTTAAATATTCTGGTATTTAAGGATGTAAGACCGCAAATATATGTCGAAAGTATCACCGTAAATATATGTCGGGAGTATCGGTCAACCAATTCTTAATGATGACGGTAAAACCTTTGAAGTTTCTATTTCAGTCAGTACTATTGTTAACAAAAAATTGTAAATCAAGTGGCACATACTAATTAAATTATAAAACACATGTGATATAATAATAATATTTCTCCCTGATAATGATATATGTTCTCTATCTAAGAACAGTTCCTAAAATCCTTCTCCGTTTTGACGAGAAGAAATCTAAATAAACGAAAGACTTAGTTGTTATGCTCCTAATTATTATTTCCATAAAAACAATAACAATGTCAACATAAAACGGTATTAACAAACTATTCGGTCTGTGTAAGAAATCGTGTCATCATGAAACGGTATTAACAAACTATTTGGTCTGTGTAAGAAATCGTGTCATCATGAAACGGTATTAACAAACTATTTGGTCTGTGTCAGAAATCGTGTCATCATGAAACGGTATTAACAAACTATTTCGACTGTGTAAGAATTCGTGTCGTCATGAAATGGTCTTATACATCCTGGAATGTTCTGGTTGTCATGACGCTCGCAAACGAAGAATTTAGCATATAACATTGAATTATCATTGTGAATATTTATTTATTGTAAGTTGTTACTTTTTAAAAGTAATTCTTTTTATTGTTTAACCATGCTTACACACACACACCCAAAACATCAGTTTTCTGATATTGCACCTCTAGACGTAACATGTAGGCTAACTAAGTTTGAATGAAGATATCGAAATTACATTATCAACGGTTTATTAGCTGAACAATGCAATATATCATAATAGTTTCAGATATTTATTCTTTTTTATAATAGACGATATCGACGTGTTCAACTTTTAAGAAGTATGATATGGCAAGTCAAATTTGAGGACATTGATTTTGTAACTGCGTTATTACATGGTAGTGTTAGAGTAAGTAGATGTTATTATATGGTAGTGTTAGTGTAAGAAGATGTTATAACATGGAAATGTTAGATTAAGTAGATGTTATCATATGGTATTGTTAGTGTAAGAAGATGTTATAACATGGAAATGTTAGAGTAAGTAGATGTTATTATATGGTAGTGTTAGTGTAAGAAGATGTTATAACATGGAAATGTTAGAGTAAGTAGACGTTATTTCATGGTAGCGTTAGAGAAAGAAGACGTTATTACATTGTAGCGTTTGAGTAAGTAGACGTTATTTCATGATGTCGTTAGAGTGAAAAGATGCTATTATATGGTTGAGGTGTTAGAGCACGTATTACATAATAGCGCTGGAGCTAGTATACATTACAATGAAGTGGTAGAGTAAGTAGACGTATGTCATGGTAGTGTTTGAATAAGTAGACGTTATTACATGGTTATGTTAGAGAAAATAGAATTTATTTCATGGTAGTGTTAGAGTAAGTAGACGTTACTACATGGTAGTGTTAGAGTAAGTAGACGTAATAACATAGAAGTGTTAGAGTAAGTAGAATATTAGCATATCAAACCTCTTACTTGGTGCGATATCTTTTGGTTAAGAGTTGTCCGTCCGCCTTTTTCATTCAGTAAGAGGAGGTATACATTTTAAAGCCACAGTTCGATTTGGAATGACATACTGTATCGACACGTATTTATTCATGAATATTGCATGTTGATCTCTACATGTTTGTTTTTTGTCTTAAGATTTTTATCAACAATTATTAGCAACACGACGGGTGCCACATGTGGAGCAGGATCTGCTTACCCTTCCGGAGCACCTGAGATCACCCCCAGATTTTGGTGGGGTTCGTGTTGCTTAGTCTTTAGTTTTCTATGTTGTGTCATCTGTACTATTATTTGTTTGTTTGTCTTTTTATTTTTGGCCATGGCGTTGTCAGTTTGTTTTCGATCTATGAGTTTGACTGTCCCTCTGGAATCTGGAATAATATATGTTTACTTAAAAATGGATGACGGGTAAACTGTTTGAAGAGTTCAAGGGCGTATCAGGAACAAAGAACATATTGGTATATTTATACTGGATATAAAATTTTGTGATGAAATTGCACAAAATAAAGTATTCTATAACATAAATAAACACATGTATTGGAGATTATCTGTGTCACAGATTACAATGGCTGCGTACCGTTAGTCGTAGCCACAATGTCGTTATGTCTATGAAACCGAATGCGACTCAAAAGATGTATATTTGATAAGAGCAACACCACGGATGGTACAACAATCTTACGAATTTCCTAGTTTTCTCTGTATTATATGAAAAAAGTCATCACATATACCAGATATATCATTTAAGTATGACGACGCGCGTTTCGTCTACGCGTGACAAAATAACTCATATCAAAACGGTTAGAAGACAAAATTCATTTTTTATTTGTACGTTTTTTTGAACATTTTGGAAGTTTTGGTCCTCGGTGCTCTTCGGCTTTGTACTTGTTTTGGCTTTCAAGCTTTTTTCATCTGAGCGTCACTTGATGGTCTTGTGTGGACAAGACGCACGTCTGGCGTATTGAATTTTAAGCCTAGTACCTTTTGTTAGCTATTATTCGTGTGTTTTTTTGTCCTATATGTTCTTCCATTTATTTGTATTGTGGTCCTGTCATGTGATGTTGTCGTTTTGGTGTTGTGTTTGACGTTGCCATTAAAGCGGGAGGTTTGGCATGCCACACAACCAGGTTCAACCCACCATTTTTTTCTTAAAATGTCCTGTACCAAGTCAGGAAAATGGCCATTGTTATATTGTAGTTCGTTTCTGTGTGTGTTAAATTTTAATTTTGTGTTTTTGTTGTGTCGTTGTTCTCCTCTTTTATTTGATGCGTTTCCTTCAGTTTTAGTTTGTAACCCGGATTTGTTTTTATCTCTATCGATTTATGAGTTTCGAACAGCGGTACACTACTGTTGCCTTTATTTTCCACCTTTTTTTTGGTCGGGATGTTGTCAGTATTATTCAATTTAATATTGCTTATAACTTTTGCAAATTGTGTCGTATCAGATCTACTTTTACACAGTAAATTAAGGCAAAAGTAGTTTGTCGATTTTCAAATCTCGTAAATTGGTTGAAAAAACATCATGGTAAAAACAAACACCAATGGACTACAAAAGGAGCGAAACCAATTGCATCGACATGGTAAGCGTCTCCCTATATGTATGCATCCACCGCCAAGCCAATCCACACTCATTCAAAGAGTCGCAATTGGGTATAGGACACAGTTGGTAAACTAACAGATCAGACAACTTTACGGGTATACCTAAGCTGAACTTAACTAATAGCTAAAGATGCAAGACCACAAACATGTAACTAGTGAGTTGAAACACCGACACCTTGTACCGATCAACCAATTTGTGATCGTGACCATACAATTTATGTTGTGTTGTTTTCAGTAATTTCTCTTAAACCTATGTAAAGGTTGATTTTGTGAACTGTAATTACACACAAAATGAGAATGGGCACGTTGTCGTGAAAGTGAGATATTTTAAATGATGATCGAGTATTATATCATCTCATAAAACATCATCAGTATGTCCCGTCAACTCTATGTTTACTATTAACAAACAAAAATTCATAAATATTGTAAATCCTCCTTTTTAATCTTTGTTGATGTTTGTTTTCTTTTGCGATGTAGAATAGTTTTAAGAATTTATCAAGACGGCGGACAAGTTCAAACAAGAAGAAAGCTTCACGTACAAGCAGTGGAAGTGGTGGTGTTGTTATCTCATCAAACAGTTCCCCGCCTCAGTTCCATAAGCCAGACGGCGGTGCAATGTTTGGATCTGTCGCTTATGTTCGTGGTAAGTCATGATTGCAGCTGTCGCTTATGTTCCCGCTAAATCATGTTTGTATCTGTCACTTATGTTCGTCATTTATTAGTGTAGGTAGACCAGGTTGGATATGTATCTTATGTTCGTGATAAAACGTGTTTGAATCGGTCACTTATGTTCGTCATTTATTAGTGTAGCTAGACCAGGTTGGATATGTATCTTATGTCCGTGATTAAACATGTTTGAATCGGTCACTTTGTCGTGGTAGGTTATGTCTGTATCTGTTGCTGATGTTCGTGCACGTTGTGACACGTATAAAGAATAATATTGGTTTAATTGATTTTATGAAAGTTATTCTCCTCTACTAATTTATTGTCCAATTCTAGTCAGATATTAAATTCCGGATACATGTTCTAAATTGATTTCTTTATTTTTCATTTATTCTATAAGAAGAAAGATAGTGATAATTTTGCCTCAGCTCAAAAAATGTATGATTATGACAATTATTACATTTCTGTACAGGTAGTTTGGTCTCTGTAAAACGTGTCAATAAAGGAAATATCACGATGACAAAAGATGTTCTTCATCAACTTAATCAGGTAATTAACATAGTAAATGACACTTTCAATACATAATACAAATCAATATTAACCAATCATACCACTTTAGCAGAGTTTAATGAATCATTTTACTGAATATATTCTTCATAATGAACGTTCAATAGTAAAAGATTAGAGAACCAAACCGATATAAATAAATGATAAGTATGACACCAATCTGACAATATAGTGAGTATCATCCAAACCCTTAAATAAAATGAGCGTTTACACAATAACGTCTGTATTTACATTTGAGCCTAAAGGAAATTGTGTGTTCTTATAATTATTGTATAATTGATCAAGTTTCATTTCTTTTTCTAAATGTTTGTTTGTATAGATAATTACAATTGTAAATATATGTTTAAAACTAAAACAAATGTAAATCAAATACCCTGTAAAATTGAAAACATGATAACAGGTGTTAGGTCTTTGCGAGCATATGCGAAAAGAGTATAAAGTAAACGGCATAATTGGGTACCACTAAATGTTCCTTTTTCTTTGTTAATTAAAAGTTTTAAAAACTATAGATATTCAACATGTATAATTACAGCTAATGGAGTTAAAACAGCAAAATGTCTGTGCATTTGTTGGCGCCTCGTTTGATCCTGGTAGGATACTGTTGTTATGGGAGTATTGTCCAAAAGGCAGTATACAGGCAAGTATAAAGTAAATGTTGTGTAAAACATACATATTTCGACATTCACTTATTTATCGTGTTGTGCTTCAAAGCTTAATATACTGGCTTCGTTAATCGGGACTAAATAAGAAGGACCCAGGAAGGCAATAAGTGCATATTCTACAACATACATTGTGTAAATACTTGTTTTGACATTCAATTCAAATGTGGTGTAAATTATTTTCCTAAACATTGATAAGTTTAACAGTTTGTTATCCATGTTATCCTAAGGACAATAAGAAAGACCAAGTGTATGACATTTCTTTTCTATTCCTTTTAGGATGTCATTTGGAACCAGAATATTAAGTTAGATCAAATGTTCAAGTTTGCATTGAGTCTGGATATAGTGAAGGTAATTATGCATGACTAAAAATGTTAAACATCAAATAAGAATACAACCCATAAACACAAAAGAAAACACTATCAGCGAAAAAGCTCATATACATTTGTTTCAGTCTGTAATTTAAAGAATATAAAACCAGACCAAAGATTTAAAAAAGTTACATAGAAAATTCACTGTCTATTCATTCAAACTGTGTGTTCACTTATAAATGATTTCTATAAGCTTGAGTTCATGAAAGCACCTTTAAAGTACGATGTACCATGACCATTGTCTTTTCAAAAAGCCTCAAGTTGGGTATAATTTTCCCTCTCTTCCCGACGAACATGTTTTTTGTTCCAGACCACATATCATAAAAACTGTTGTTTTTTATATGAACAATGTTTTTTGGACTGCCTATCAAAGAACTTGAATATGAAATCAGTAATTCTGGCAATCCAATGTAACGCCTACATCATTCACGAACGAGGAAATCACAGAAAATCACAATTAGATTCTTCTCTCGTTTGACAATGAGAGGAACTCCTTTATATTGGATATCCAAACTTCACAACTATTATTATAAAAACCAATTTATAGCAGTATTGTCTAGATATTCCACTAAAAGTCTCCTAAAATATTATTACAATTCTTTCTACAATTAAAGATTGCCTAAACAATTATCCCCAACAGTGCCAATCAGATGTTGAGACTAAATTTTTAAAACACCTACCTCTTAGTCTTCAATCAAAATCAGTATTTTTTTGCAATACTACAACTTCCTTTTGCTACATTCAAAAATCGACTTGACCTTCTCATCTAATAGTGAGTATTTCCACAAAAAAGTTAATCCTAGTTATGAATGTTTTGTTGTAGGTCTCCAAAAAATGTATATTGTGTAGAAGCATGCAGATTCCAAACACAAATACACCGAAGTTAATATAATAAAACGATGAACATATTTTCGAGACAGTACGTTGAATTGATAATGTAAAAATGAAGCTTAATTCTTACAAACCTTTACAAATACAAAACAATAAGTTCTTGAGATATATTGATTCTGTTTTGTGGTATGATAGCTTTATGTTGGATATATCCTACCAATAAGATAACCATAAAATCGTATACAGCATAATACTATGGTTATTGTTATTTTACAGGGATTAGATTTCGTCCATAAAAGTTCTGTACAGTACCATGGTAACCTAAAGAGTACTAACTGTGTGGTAGACAGTAGATGGACATGTAAGCTGACAGATTTTGGCGTACCAAGTATAAGATATGTTGACAGGAATATACAGGAGGAACCGCATGATAGTACGATATATTTAATAAATGATGGATCAGAACAATATCATCCACTCCCGTTTAAACTTAAATTTAGAAGCCTGTAATTCAGAGGTTGTGGTTGGTTCATGTCGGTCATATTTGTTTTTTCTCGTAAATTGTATTGTATAAATAAGGTCGTTAGTTTTCTCGTTTGTATTATTTCTCATTTTTCGTGTGGGGGCCTTTTATTGCTGACTATACGGTATGAGTTTTTATTATATTTTAAGGCCGTACTGTAACCTATAATTGCTTTTATCTTCGTCATTTGAACTCTGGTGAATAGTTGTCTCATTGGCAATCATACCACATCTCCTTATTTGTTAAATCATATTTAATTTATCATCGAGTCTAGTTTCCAATGTAGTTAAAATGATCATATTCAATTGATCTTCGGGTGAAGTGTACAGTAAGGTTAAAATATATTGACTTTTATTATATGAGAGATTATTAGATTATTATAAGCAAAGACAAAATTTCTAAGAATTAAAGGTTTTGAAGCTTGTCTTTTATTTTATAACTAGTTAAAATGTTTTTTTTTTTGACTAAATCTATATTCCTTTTTTGTAGAATTACTTTGGACTGCTCCAGAGGTCCTGAGAAATGAAAAGGTTTTGGATAAACAGAAAGCAGATTTATTTTCTCTAGGAATTATACTGAAGGAAGTGTTCACACGTTCTGGACCATACACTGAATTTCCATTTCTGCAGCCATCAGGTACAAAACTTGTGTCAAGTAAATGCAGACTATTTCGTTGATATGTGAACAGGAAACAATGCACCAATTTATATTGTCAACTTTATGAAATATTAACTTTAAACTGTGAATGGTGTATGTTTTCCACAACATCGCTATTTTAACGATAAAGTTTTGAATTAATTCTCCCAAATCGACGATAGATCGTTTTTGAAATTAAGAGACTATCCATTTCTTTTTAATTCATCATCTCGAGTTTGATACCAAGGAACAGCAATATAGTTATTGTGTAATCATTGAAAAGTTTACATGTCCCACAATAGAAAATTACGTAAAAGTTTACATGTTCCACAATAGAACATTACGTAAAAGTTTACATGTTCCACAATAGAACATTACTTAAAGTTTACATATTCCAATAGAACATTACGTAAAAGTTTACATGTTCCACAATAGAACATTACGTAAAAGTTTACATGTTCCACAATAGAACAGTATGTAAAAGTTTACATGTTCCACAATAGAACATTAAGTAAAAAATTACATGTTCCACAATAGAACATTAGGGAAAAGTTTACATATTCCAATAGAACATTATGTAAAAGTTTACATGTTCAACAATAGAACATTACGTAAAAGTTTACATGTTCCACAATAGAACATTACGTAAAAATACGCTTTTAATATTTTTGAATGTGAAATGTTTCGTATGTCCTTCTCAAATTTGGATACTTTTTTCATCTCAATGTCTTTCAGATATCATAGAAAAAGTCCGTGAAGTTCCCGAGGGTCCTGTTTTCAGGCCTTTGATAACAGTTGATTTTCGCAAACAGAATCCAGATTTGTTTGGTGTAATTGACGAATTATGGAACGACGATCCATTGCACAGACCCTCTGCCTCTAGAGCATATAAAGTTTTACATCGAATTAATCCGTCCAAGTAAGATATGTTTACTTCTGCCTTAAGAGCATATAAAGTTTAACATCGAATTAACCCATCCAAGTAAGATATGTTTACTTCTGCCTTAAGAGCATATAAAATTTTACATAGAATTAACCCATCCAAGTAAGATATGTTTACTTCTGTCTCTAGAGCATATACAGTTTTACATCGAATTAATCCGTACAAGTAAGATATGTTTACTTCTGCCTTAAGAGCATATAAAGTTTTACATCTAATTAACCCATCCAAGTGAGATATGTTTACTTCTGCCTCTAGAGCGTATACAGTTTTACATCGAATTAATCCGTACAAGTAAGATATGTTTACTTCTGCCTCTAGAGCATATACAGTTTTACATCGAATTAATCCGTACAAGTAAGATATGTTTACTTCTGCCTCTAGAGCATATACAGTTTTACATCGAATTAATCCGTACAAGTAAGATATGTTTACTTCTGCCTTAAGAGCATATAAAGTTTTACATCGAATTAATCCGTACAAGTAAGATATGTTTACTTCTGCCTCTAGAGCATATACAGTTTTACATCGAATTAATCCGTACAAGTAAGATATGTTTACTTCTGCCTCTAGAGCATATACAGTTTTACATCGAATTAATCCGTACAAGTAAGATATGTTTACTTCTGCCTCTAGCGCATATAAAGTTTTACATCGAATTAACCCATCCAAGTAAGATATGTTTACTTCTGCCTTAAGAGCATATAAAGTTTTACATCTCATTAACCCGTCCAAGTAAGATATGTTCACTTCTGCCTCTAGCGCATATAAAGTTTTACATCGAATTAACCCGTCCAAGTAAGATATGGTTACTTCTGCCTCTAGAGCATACAAAGTTTTACATCGAATTAACCCGTCCAAGTAAGATATGGTTACTTCTGCCTCTAGAGCATACAAAGTTTTACATCGAATTAACCCGTCCAAGTAAGATATGGTTACTTCTGCCTCTACAGCATACAAAGTTTAACATCGAATTAACCCATCCAAGTAAGATATGTTTACTTCTGCCTCTAGAGCATATACAGTTTACATCGAATTAATCCGTACAAGTAAGATATGTTTACTTCTGCCTCTAGAGCATATACAGTTTTACATCGAATTAATCCATACAAGTAAGATATGGTTACTTCTGCCTCTAGAGCATACAAAGTTTTACATCGAATTAACCCGTCCAAGTAAGATATGTTCACTTCTGCCTCTAGCGCATACAAAGTTTTACATCTCATTAACCCGTCCAAGTAAGATATGTTCACTTCTGCCTCTAGCACATATAAAGTTTTACATCGAATTAACCCATCCAAGTAAGATATGGTTACTTCTGCCTCTAGAGCATACAAAGTTTTACATCGAATTAACCCGTCCAAGTAAGATATGTTTACTTCTGCCTTAAGAGCATTTAAAGTTTTAAATCGAATTAACCCATCCAAGTAAGATATGTTTACTTCTGCCTTAAGAGCATTTAAAGTTTTACATCGAATTTATCCGTGCAATTAAGAATATATATACTTACATCATACTTCTAAATATTCAATCCATCGTAAAATTATGTAAAATACAAACAAACTTCTTAAATTGATTGTGAAAATCCGTATTTTACTACATATTCTATACTAGAATTTTTTTTTTAAATGTTTTAAGTCTCAATGTGTGGATTAATTGAGTCGATGAGTTACTATATGATAAAAAAAACATATATTAATATCTTTTATTAATACCTTAGATAAAAAAATGTCATAAAAAAACCCGAATACCTGACTGCACAATTACGTTATTTTCGTGTTATAGTTACAGAAATGTTGAAAAATAAATCATATTTGATAGAATACGAAACGATGAAGGCCGGCACACCATTTTTCACTTTGACATATATGTGAACCGAACAAAAAGGCATAGACTAAAGCTTCGACAATACAAACAGTTTTGAGAATTGAATACGAGAAAAACAAAATTTACTCTTTAACAAAATAACATAAGTTTTCTAGGCCAAAGCTACTAGTATTTTGAGTGATTCAAAAGATCGAGTATTAGAAAAAAATGATATGATTATCGCATCTTCAAGCATAAATCCTTATAAGTCGTTACCACAATCTTGTGCTCTTTTTCTCGAATGAGATATCACCGGTTAGACTTATCACCGAGTCTGTACTTACATGAACAACACTACCTCTTTTTCTCGAATGTGATATCACCGAATATACTTATCATCGAGTCTGTACTTACATGAACAACAATACGGGTGCCACATGTCAAGCAGGACCTGCTTACCAGTAGGGCACATGATATCACCCTAGGTGTTTGGTATGGTTCGTGTTGCTCAGTGTTTTGGTTTTCTATGTTGTGTGTTGTATACTGTTTTTTTGTTTTCTTGCCATGGCGTTGTCAGTTTGTTTTCGACTTCTGAGTTTGAATATCCCTCTGGTATCTTCTGCCTCTCTATTATAATTTTACATTGCTTTATAAGCTTTTTACTTTGCGTTAAGTTAATTATATTTTCCTTTTTCAGAAATTTAACGATGATCGACAATATGATTGCTATCTTAGAAAAATATGCTAACCATTTAGAGGACCTTGTAGCAGAGCGGACGAGTGAGCTAGATGCTGAAAAGAAAAAAACTGAAAATCTTTTGTATAGAATGTTACCAAGGTTAAAATCTTTTAGAATTTTTTGTGAAAGGAGAATAAAACATTGGAGATGTGGTGGGATTGTAAATGAGACAACTATCAACAAAAGCCCGAACGAAAATGATGTACATAATAATAGGTTACCCGTAAGGTCTACAGCAATGAGTAAAACACACATAATAATAGGTTACCCGTAAGGTCTACAGCAATGAGTAAAACACACATAATAATAGGTTACCCGTAAGGTCTACAGCAAAGAGTAAAACACACATAATAATAGGTTACCCGTAAGGTCTACAGCAATGAGTAAAACACACATAATAATAGGTTACCCGTAAGGTCTACAGCAATGAGTAAAACACACATAATAATAGGTTACCCGTAAGGTCTACAGCAAAGAGTAAAACACACATAATAATAGGTTACCCGTAAGGTCTACAGCAATGAGTAAAACACACATACTAATAGGTTACCCGTAAGGTCTACAGCAATGAGTAAAACACACATAATAATAGGTTACCCGTAAGGTCTACAGCAAAGAGTAAAACACACATAATTATAGGTTACCCGTAAGGTCTACAGCAAAGAGTAAAACACACATAATAATAGGTTACCCGTAAGGTCTACAGCAATGAGTAAAACACACATACTAATAGGTTACCCGTAAGGTCTACAGCAATGAGTAAAACACACATAATAATAGGTTACCCGTAAGGTCTACAGCAAAGAGTAAAACACACATAATAATAGGTTACCCGTAAGGTCTACAGCAAAGAGTAAAACACACATAATTATAGGTTACCCGTAAGGTCTACAGCAAAGAGTAAAACACACATAATTATAGGTTACCCGTAAGGTCTTCAGCAATGAGTAAATACGTAAGTTATACAAGGTTTGGGGTTGACAAAATGGGAAACAATTCGAAAGGAAAAACAAAAGGGGTATAATTACACAATGATGTCATAAACATGTTGAAACAAATGTATTTGACCTAAAATGGGAACTTTTTGAAAAAAAATTAGACAATTAGTAGCAACATGTGTTTTCAGTAAAGCAATAGGTCATATCTAAATATTAATGACAAGATCTAAACAAAACAAAATTTTGTTGCAGTTTTGCACTTCTACCATGTTTACATTTCATTCAAATTTTAAGCCTTTAAGCAAATCTATAAGATACAATTAAAAAATGTAATATTTGGCACTTATTTTGATGTCTTTTATAATCAATTTAATATCTGACAACCATCGGTAGACTTAATAACCACAACATATGTAGATTAAAGCTATTAGCTATAGGAAAAGTCTCGTACTTGAGGTTCCCATTTATATTTGTAGTCTCATATCTTTACAGGTCAGTGGCAGAGGATTTAAAGGCAGGTAAACAAGTAAAAGCTGAACAATTTGACGAAGCGACAATCTATTTCTCTGATATCGTTGGCTTTACAACTATTTGTGCAAGCAGTACACCTATTGAGGTAATATGAAGTCTTTGTAGAAGTCTTTGGCAAATGATACTAAAGGGACATTCAAACCCTATATACTCTTCAAATAAAAATAACACTTTTTTTTGTGTGTGTCCGACGAGCTTTTCTCGATTTACCTTTATTAAGAAAACTCGAACCTTAACACTTAAAAGCCTATAACTTGTTCTTATAGTGATTAAGAGTATAACACAATATTGACTGCTGTACCCTTTTTTTTTACGTTTGTACATATTATGTCTGTTTGTTTTGCTCACACATTGTTGTCAATATGATGGAATTATATGCGACTGTCATACAAGTGAGAGGTTTAGCTAGCTATAAAACTAGGTTTAATCCACCATTTTCTACATAAGGAAATATCTGTACCAAGTCAGGAATATGGCAATTGTTCTTCATTCGTTTGATGTGTTTAAACTTTTGATTTTACCATTTTATAAAGGACTTTCCGTTTTTAATTTCCCTTGGAGTTCGGCATTTTTGTTATTTTACCTTTTGAACCTTTTCAAGTAATGAAAAGTGAAAAGAAGTTGTTTTTCATAGCTTGACTGTAATCAATGAATTCACTTGTTAATGTATTCCGATCAATGGATTATTTGGTAATGTCACAAAGGGTATAGCTATTGAGTATGAATAAAATGATTACTTGTCAATGTTACAGTTACAGAACGACATAACAAAAGCCGATAGGACACGATAGGTCTTCAACAATAGACACCGCGATAGGACACGATAGATCTTCAACAATAGACACCGCGATAGGACACGGTAGGTCTTCAACAATAGACACCGCGATAGGACACGATAGGTCACGATAGGACACGATAGGACACGATAGGTTACGATAGGACACGATAGGTCACGATAGGTCTTCAACAATAGACACATGTCTGTAAAATATAGTAAGCTCTTAATCACCAGAAATCTGGAAAAATTATACTAAAATTAACAAAGACTATCAATAACGAATCCTCTAAATGACATTAAAATAAATAAATAACAAACGAGAGTCATTGACGAACTTTTTCACCAGACGACCAAAGGGTAAAAAAGAGCTAACAAATTCAGCTCTGGAGTAGCAGGTGACTTTATAATAACATAAAACTCGAGCAAAATAATACTGAAAATATCAACGAATGCTCCCAGTTTCTTACAGCAAGCTCAAAGATGCTTCACTTGTTGCTGATGTTGTGGATCCGACATTCTAAGGATCATTTTTGACGGGTTTTTGCAAGGAATGAATCAGTCTGCTTTATATATTTCAGGTTGTAAATTTGTTAAACAGTCTATATACCTTATTTGATGACATCATCACACGTTATGACGTATACAAGGTAAACATAACACATTATTTGATGACTGGCATATACAAGGTAACAATAACACGTTATTTGATGACATCATCACACGTTATGACGTATACAAGGTAAACATAACACATTATTTGATGACTGACATATACAAGGTAACAATAACACGTTATTTGATGACATTATCACACGTTATGACGTGTAAAAGGTAACAATAACACATTATTTGATGACATCATCACACATCATGACTTATACAAGGTAACAATAACACCTTAATATACATATAAACGTTAACATGGCAATCATAATACACTATCACATAGTATGTCGAGAAGAGACATAAGTTATACGTAACGTGAGAATTTAACACTCCATATGGTTAAGCAATTTGAACGTTTTCGGTTTACCAAACAATGTCATTTTAATTCAATTTAAACCAACCACCGAACTATGGCTATATATTGTAATATTTTAACTCGTTGGGCAATAGTGAAAACCAAAGAAAGGACTTTTTATTTATCTTATTCAAAATTATTGAGTTATGCATATAGATTCAATAACTCATATATGATATCAATATTATTAACATCAAAATCGTCCAAATAGCAACAACAGCACATTTAATTTTTTTAGGTTGAAACTATTGGAGATGCATACATGTTGGCAAGTGGATTACCAAAACGGAATGGTTCTCGTCATATGCGGGAAATTGCTGACTGTGCTCTTAATATACTGGAATCTATAACAACATTTTATATACCTCACCAACAGAATCAAACAGTTAGAATACGTATAGGTAAGTCTTTCTTTATGTCACCACCAGAATCAAACAGTTACAATACGTATAGGTAAGTTGGCATTTATGTCACTACTAGAATCAAACAGTTACAATACGTATAGGTAAATCTTTCTTTATGTCACCACCAGAATCAAATAGTTACAAAACGTATAGCTAAGTCTCTCTTTATGTCACCACCAGAAAAAAACAGTTACAATACGTATAGGTAAGTCTCTTCTTACTTCACTCCACCAGATTCTATTAGTTACAATACGTATAGGTAAATATTTCTTTATGTCACCACCAGAATCAAAACGTTACAATGCGTATAGGTAAGTCTTTCTTTATGTCACTACCAGAATCAAACAGTTACAATGCGTATAGGTAAGTATTTCTTTATGTCACCACCAGAATCAAATTGTTACAATACGTAAAGGTAAGTATTTCTTTATGTCACCACCAAAATCAAACAGTTACAATACGTATAGGTACGTCTTTCTTTATGTCACTACCAGAATCAAATAATTACAATAGGTATAGGTAAGTCTTTCTTTATGTCACCAACAGAATCAAATAATTACAATACGTAAAGGTTAGTCTTTCTTTATGTCACTTCCAGAATCAAACAGTTAGAGTATGTATAGGTAAGTCGGTCTTTATGTCACCACCAGAACCAAATAGTTACAATACGTATAGTTAAGTCTTGCTTTATGTCACCACCAGAATCAAACAGTTACAATACGTAAAGCTAAGTCTTGCTTTATGTCACTACTAGAATCAAACAGTTACAATACGTATAGGTAAATCTTTCTTTATGTCACCACCAGAATCAAATAGTTACAAAACGTATAGCTAAGTCTCTCTTTATGTCACCACCAGAAATAAACAGTTACAATACGTATAGGTAAGTCTCTCTTTACTTCACTCCACCAGATTTTATTAGTTACAATACGTATAGGTAAGTCTTTCTTTATGTAACCACCAGAAATAAACAATTACAATACGTGTAGGTAAGTCTCTTTTTACTTCATTCTACCATATTCTAATAGTTACAATACGTATAATTAAGTCTTTCTTTATGTCACCACCAGAATCAAATAGTTACAATACGTATAATTAAGTCTTTCTTTATGTCACCACCAGAATCAAATAGTTACAATACGTATAGGTAAGTTTTTCTTTATGTCACCACCAGAATCAAATAGTTACAATTCGTATAGGTAAGTTTTTCTTTATGTCACCACCAGAATCAAATAGTTACAATACGTATAGGTAAGTCTTTCTTTATGTCACTACCAGAATCGAACAGGTATAATACGTTTAGGTAAGTTTAGCACAAAGTCATCAACAGAATCAAACAGAATACGTATAGGTAAGTTCCCCTCTAGGTCAATTATAGTATAAAAGAGATAGAATACGTATAGTTAAGTTCCTCGCTAGGTCAATTATGGTTAAAAAGAGATAGAATACGTATAAGTAAGTTCCTTGCTAGGTCAATTATAGTAAAGGAGATAGAATACGTATAGGTAAGTTCCTTACTAGGTCAATTATAGTAAAGGAGGTAGAATACGTATAGGTAAGTTCCTCGCTACTTCAATTATAGTAAAAAGGGAGATAGAATACGTATAGGTAATTTCCTTGCTAGGTCAATTATAGTAAAGGAGATAGAATACGTATAGGTAAGTTCCTTGCTAGGTCAATTATAGTAAAGGAGGTAGAATACGTATAGGTAAGTTCCTCGCTAGATCAAATATAGTAAAAAAGAGATAGAATACGTATAGGTAAGTTCCTCGCTAGGTCAATTATAGTAAGGGAGGTAGAATACGTATAGGTAAGTTCCTCGCTAGATCAAATATAGTAAAAAAGAGATAGAATACGTATAGGTAAGTTCCTTGCTAGGTCAATTATAGTAAAAAAGTGATAGAATATGTATAGATAAGTTCATCGCTAGGTCAATTATAGTAACATAGAGATAGAATACGTATAGGTAAGTTCCTTGCTGGGTCAATTATAGCAAAGGAGATAGAATACGTATGGTAAGTTCCTCGCTAGGTCAATTATAGTAAAAAGGGAGATAGAATGCGTATAGGTAATTTCCTTGCTAGGTCAATTATAGTAACATAGAGATAGAATACGTATAGGTAAGTTCCTTGCTGGGTCAATTATAGTAAAGGAGATAGAATACGTATAGGTAAGTTCCTCGCTACTTCAATTATAGTAAAAAGGGAGATGGAATACGTATAGGTAATTTCCTTGCTAGGTCAATTATAGTAAAGGAGATAGAATACGTATAGGTAAGTTCCTTGCTATGTCAATTATAGTAAAGGAGATAGAATACGTATAGGTAAGTTCCTCGCTAGTTCAATTATAGTAAAAAAGAGATAGAATACGTATAGGTAAGTTCCTCGCTAGGTCAATTATAGTAATGGAGATAGAATACGTATAGGTAAGTTCCTCAATAAGTCATCATTAAAATGACAGAGAGAACATGTATAGGTGAGTCACTAACATGACTATCAACAGAATCAAACAGAACATGTATAGGTGAGTCACTAACATGACTATCAACAGAATTAAACAGAACATGTATAGGTGAGTCACTAACTTGACTATCAACAGAATATAACAGAACATGTATAGGTGAGTCACTAATATGACTATCAACAGAATCAAACAGAACATGTATAAGTGAGTCACTAACATGACTATCAACAGAATTAAACAGAACATGTATAGGTGATTCACTAACATGACTATCAACAGAATCAAACAGAACATGTATAGGTGAGTCACTAACATGACTATCAACAGAATTAAACAGAACATGTATAGGTGAGTCACTAACATGACTATCAACAGAATCAAACAGAACATGTATAGGTGAGTCACTAACATGACTGTCAACAGAATTAAACAGAACATGTATAGGTGAGTCACTAACTTGACTATCAACAGAATCAAACAGAACATGAATAGGTGAGTCACTAACATGACTATCAACAGAATCAAACAGAACATGTATAGGTGAGTCACTAACATGACTATCAACAGAATTAAACAGAACATGTATAGGTGAGTCACTAACATGACTATCAACAGAATTTAACAGAACATGTATAGGTGAGTCACTAACATGACTATCAACAGAATCAAACAGAACATGTATAGGTGAGTCACTAACTTGACTATCAACAGAATTTAACAGAACATGTATAGGTGAGTCACTAACATGCCTATCAACAGAATCAAACAGAACATGTATAGGTGAGTCACTAACATGACTATCAACAGAATCAAACAGAACATGTATAGGTGAGTCACTAACATGACTATCAACAGAATCAAACAGAACATGTATAGGTGAGTCACTAACTTGCCTATCAACAGAACCAAACAGAACATGTATAGGTGAGTCACTAACTTGACTATCAACAGAACCAAACAGAACATGTATAGGTGAGTCACTAACTTGACTATCAACAGAATCAAACAGAACATGTATAGGTGAGTCACTAACTTGACTATCAACAGAATCAAACAGAACATGTATAGGTGAGTCACTAACATGACTATCAACAGAAATAAACAGAACATGTATAGGTGAGTCACTAATTTGACTATCAACAGAATTAAACAGAACATGTATAGGTGAGTCACTAACATGACTATCAACAGAATTAAACAGAACATGTATAGGTGAGTCACTAACTTGACAATCAACAGAAGCAAATAATTAAAATACGTAAAGGTAAGTTCCCCATACAGGTGGAGGAGCGTTTTTATTACAGGTGAAATATTTGGATTCTTAAGTGACCAAATTCTTTTCTCGGGAGTATTTTATACCCAAGTTTACCAGACAGTACTGTGGATTCATTATTATTCGTGAGATACCAGTTTTCGTGGGTTTCGTGGGTAGAGTTGAACCACGAATTCAAATGTTCAAAGAAGTGCAGATTTTCTATAGGCTATGTACATGTATGCAAAGATTGGCAAAACTACGATATCAAATATCTGCGCAAATGCAAGTTTTCCTCCATCCACGAAAATTGATACCCACGAAAATAAATGAATCCACTGTAAACAGCACTAGATTTTTGTTTATATTGAATCACATGACCATCTGCATTCTTTGGAGGTCATTTCGATAGTTAATTAGATAGCGTCTAAGTCTAGAATAGTTAATTAGGTGGCGTCTAAGTCTTGAATAGTTAATAAGTTGGCGTAATAGTCTAGAATAAACACAAAATTATAACCATTCCATGCATTACTTATTGTTTCGTTTTGTCTTATTGTAATTTGGATATAGATAAGTTTGAGAATTAAAGTGCACTCGGTGAACTTGAACTTGACAGTTATGCCCCTTTAACGTTCTACACCTTGTTCTTAGTATTGCTTCACCTACTGATATTACGACATATCTACAATATGGAGCTTTTTCTTAACGTCCCTCGTCATATCTTACACTTACTGTAAATTCAGAAATTATTGCGTGCAGTTATTATTGCGATTTTGTCATTTTTGATTAAATGCGATTTTAATTTTTACGATTTTGGGGAAAATCCTGTTTAATTCATACAAAATATTTCAAAATGCGAGTTAAAATTATTGCGTTTACAACTCTGTCGCATTTTTCGCAATAATTTCTGAAATACAGTATATCAAATATTCCATGTAGTTCCAACATTTAAAATGAAAAGTAATCTGTTTATTCTTTAGATAACGGGTTTAAGGTACGTTTAAGATTGATTTCCATTGGGTTTAAGGTACGTTTAAGATTGATTTCCATTGGGTTTAAGGTACGTTTAAGATTGATTTCCATTGGGTTTAAGGTACGTTTAAGATTGATTTCCATTAGGTTTAAGGTACGTTTAAGATTGATTTCCATTGGGTTTAAGGTACGTTTAAGATTGATTTCCATTGGGTTTAAGGTACGTTTAAGATTGATTTCCATTTTAGGAATCCACTCAGGGTCTGTAGTAGCAGGGGTTGTTGGCATGGCGATGCCACGGTATTGTTTGTTTGGAGATACTGTAAATACAGCTTCAAGGATGGAGTCAACTGGCTTACGTAAGTTTAATGAAAGGTTACTTAATATATAGCAATAAAGGCGACAACTAAAGCAAGGAAAAAAAACAACAAAGAAAAAGCGAGAGCTGAGGGCCTAAAAACCGCAATGCAATGTGCAAATATTCGCCATAACATCATCATTGCATGTGTGTTATGGCTGTGAGGTCACCTCTTAACATATGCACAAATTCATCTTCAGGCTTGAAACTCTATACGTATGGGCCGTTTTCACCTTTTATGGATTATAGTATCCAATCATCGCGCATGAATATATCACTGGAAAACGGACACAATATTTACATAATTATCAAAAGTAATTCTTACAAAATGGTATATTGAAGTGTTAACCAAGGGAAGAACTTTTGACTGACCAATTACATTTGAGTATTTGTAGATATTGAAATCATATAAACATTTTATTCATATGAATGTTTTTCTCATGGCATGTATTTTTCAGAGGACCGTGTACTCTCATATGATTTTATAGGGACGGCATACTGACCTTTATAGAAGTGCAAATGTTTATTCATATGTTTTGGTATCTAATGGATTGGTTGATTTCATTGACAATAAATCAACATTTCAAACCACATCTCTTCATTTGTCGATATCCTTAATCATAGATTACATGTTTGTAAGATTGTGAATGACATACTAAGCTTACTTTTCATCATGTAAACAGTATTGACCATAACAAGAAATGAAACTCAAAATTGGCACAACCTTTAAACAGACTTATTTGGAAAGGATATAGTTACGATACTGTTGTCAAGTCATTAAGGATTGCATATTTTGGTATTAATATTGATTCACTCATAGGGTCTTTGCATCGGAAATAAACACATTTATTCTATAACCAGTTGTTGGCATGATTCGGGTTATGTTCTTCTCATATATTTTATGATGGTATGATACTTAACCCCTAACGGGAGAGATTGTACTTGATTTTCATATGATGAAGACATAATCTCTCAATCAGTTTAATTGAGGTCTGGAGCTGACATGTCAGTAACTGCTAGTAGTCCTTTGTTCATTTATGTATCATTGTCATTTTGCTTAGTTTCTTTTGTTACCTATTTTGACATCGGACTCAGACTTCTTTTAAACTGAATTTTACTGTGCGTATTACTATATGTTTCTTTATTCTACATTGGCTAGAGGTATAGGGGGAGGGTTGAGATCTCACAAAACATGTTTAACCCCGTCGCAATTTTGCGCCTGTCCCAAGTCAGGAGCCTCTGGCCTTTGTTAGTCAAGTATGTTTTTTAATTTTAGTTCATTTATATGTTTTGGAATTTAGTGTGACGTCCATTTTCACTGAACTAGCACACAATTTTAGTTAGGGGCCAGGTGAGGACCACCTTCGGGTGCGGGATTTTCTCGCTGCATTGAAGACCCATTGGTGGCATTCGGCTGTTGTCTGCTCTTTGGTCGGGTTGTTGTCTCTTTGACATATTCCACATTTCCATTCTCAATTTTACAAAAATCAATTATAATTTTTTTTATCTCAAAGTGTGCTACTGTGTCGGTACCTCTGCTGGTGGACTGTAAGTGTCCGAGGGCATCACCAGTACAATAACCATTACTTTTGTACTGTAAGTGACCAAGGGCATCACCAGTACAATGACCATTACTTTTGTACCGTAAGTGACCGAGGGCATCACCAGTACAATAGCCATTACTTTTGTACTGTAAGTGACCAAGGGCATCATCAGTACAATAGCAATTACTTTTGTACTGTAAGTGACCGAGGGCATCACCAGTACAATAGCCATTACTTTTGTACTGTAAGTGACCGAGGGCATCACCAGTACAATAGCCATTACTTTTGTACTGTAAGTGACCGAGGGCATCACCAGTACAATAGCCATTACTTTTGTACTGTAAGTCACTGAGGGCATCACCAGTACAATAGCCATTACTTTTGTACTGTAAGTCACTGAGGGCATCACCAGTGTAATAGCCATTACTTTTGTACTGTAAGTCACTGAGGGCATCACCAGTGTAATAGCCATTACTTTCGTACTGTAAGTCACTGAGGGCATCACCAGTACAATAGCCATTACTTTTGTACTGTATGTCACTGAGGGCATCACCAGTACAATAGCCATTACTTTTGTACTGTAAGTCACTGAGGGCATCACCAGTACAATAGCCATTACTTTTGTACTGTATGTCACTGAGGGCATCACCAGTACAATAGCCATTACTTTTGTACTGTAAGTGACCGAGGGCATCACCAGTACAATAGCCATTACTTCTGAACTGGCTTGAAAATACGGATATCGTTTGATTGAAATTTGCTGTTATATATTTTTGGAAGTAATTTAAAATCAAGGAATATATTTATCTCGTGCAAAACTCTGATTCCTTGTCCTGATTTTGCTATACTTTTTGGTGCTTATGTATGTATCAGCTCTTCAACGTTTATATCATAATTTAGATTTTTTAATATTTTGGCCTTGACCTTCACTGTAGAGGCATTAAATGTCAAAATATGCATCTAATAAAGAAACATTGGTACCGATTATATTTTTGGAGATTTATGTATAAATACAATGTATATATTTTTAAATTGCATTAGTTTTACTCGGTCCTTTATCTAATTTTTTCACTTCTGTTGTAGCTATGAAAATTCACTTGAGTACAGTGGCAGCAGAAAACCTCCAACAGTACGACAATTATAAGCTTAAGTGTCGAGGTGAAATCAGTGTCAAAGGAAAGGGATTAATGAAAACATTCTTTCTTTGTGGCAAATATGACGGTAACCAATCTTTACAATCAATTAATGAGGACAGGAAAACAATTGTAACTTCAACTTCCGGTAATGAACTAAGTCGATCTTCACCAACCAGACATGTGTCTACAGCATCGAATGCGTTGGAAAGTCGAGTTGGCATTGGACATTATGGTGACATTCCTGACATTATCCACAAATGTAAGTCAAGACCTTCCCTACAGTCTATTCTATCTATAGAAGCATCAAACTTCAACCCAGTTCGACGATCATCATCAACAGAAGCTCCGTCGATACGAAAAATCAGTGTGCATTCAGAAATTGCAGAAAATGGAAATCCGATGGATTGCTCATCGGAAAGAACCAATTCATTAGAGTCAGGATATTTTCCAGCGGACTCATCTTGTTCGTCAGTAGAAAGGACAAGTCCTGGAGTGCATCGAACAAATTCATTTGAAAATAAAGATAGAACCCTCGAGGCTAATATTACGGAATGTAAAAAGCAAGGTCGTCGAAAAGACAATTTATTTTCACAAAAATATTTTCCTCCAACACTTTCAACTTTTGATGAAAAAGGACAATCAATCATTAACAGATACTCACTAGAGACATGTTTAGACTCAGAAAAAATGTCATCCGAAATGGAAAAACATTGGAAAAAGCAGCTTGAATTAGACGATAATTCGTTTATGAATCAACTGAAATTAACATGCGACGATCCAACTAGTTGCGCTGTAGACTGTTTAAAAGAATGTGCTAAAATATTAAACGATAAAACAAACGAGAAAGTCATCATTAGCGATGACCTTTTAAGTGACAAAACTATAACACCAGCAGCAATAGATGTTTTGATATCTCAAGATGTAACGCCGGGTCTCGACCTTGATTTACTGCCTGAACCTGAACAAAGGGTGCGACGTCGCTCGAGTAAAACCATTATGACGGAAGTTACCGCGTTATAAAGATGTCTTTTTGTTTCAAATATTAGTGCTTAATTGTAATTTCAGTATATTTAAATTGTGAATCTGTGATATTATTTAATAAAACGACATTTCTCTTATTGGTTTAGACAAAAAATCAATGCAAATCGATAGAAAATTTGTATTTCATTATTTCGTTGAACAGCTTAAAAAGAAATCCACGAAAATTTGTTTCCAACTAGTTTTAATGATTCCTCCGTAAATAGCGGAACTTACATCATTCGTGTTGAATACAGTGGACAGTGATGGTTGAATGGCTTTTTTAACATTTAGTTGCAAGTTGAATTCATATTTAGGACGATAAAATGATAAAGGGATATTAATCAAAACCCTTCTTTGTACTAGACCGACATACTGAGTCGGAATTTAACAAGCTAGTTCACAAGTAGACACAGGTTTCTAATATACCGAAAGAATTGTTCTTATGTTAATATCATAAGATGAGGAATATGGCATCAGGACAAATGTTGGCATCCTCTCTACAAATAGAAAATCAGTATATGTTGAAATAGTATAAAAACTCATGATATAATTTGGTAAATGTTTCATGAAGTGGGATATACATACGAAAGATGTTTGAAAACATGGCACATACATTGGCTATTTGTTCTATCAGTAAATTAAAATCAACTAAATATTATTTTTATATACATATGCACATTCATGGCTCTACAATCTGTCGATACCTGTATTTTGGTATTTTTCTCTGGCTGTTTATGACGTCTTTACACTAAATCCATTGGATGTGATTCTGATTGATATTTTAGTCTTAGATGCATGACTTTTTTATTAGGTGTTATTGGCTTTGAACTAGCTGTCAGTAACTGCGAGGTCTCTCAGATCTGTACTTAGTGTCTTTTTGTTGTGAGGATGTACATGTATAAGTATCCATCCACGTCCACTCTGTGCTTTTGTTAGATGTATTTCTATTTTTATCCATCCGATGAGTTAAACATTTTCCAACTGATTTTTATAGTTTCTTCTTATGTTGTAGTGTTACACCACTGTCCCAGGTAAGGGGAGGGTTGGCGCCTTCAAACTAGTTCAACCCCGCCACATTCTGTATGTGCCTGTCCGAAGTCAGGAGCCTGAAATTCAGGGGTTGTCGTTTGCTGCTGTGTAACATATTTGTTTTCCGTTCATTATTTTGTACATGAATTAGGCCGTTAGTTTTATCGTTTGAATTGTTTTACATTTGTCATTTTGGGGCCTTTTATAGCTGACTATGCGGTATGGGCTTTGCTCATTGTTTTAGGCCGTAGGGTGACCTATAATGTTAATTTCTGTGTCATTTGGTCTCTTGTGGACAGGTGTCTCATTGACAATCATATCACATCTTCTTTTCATATATATAAGCATGACACATTCCGTGACTCATCTCCCTGTTAGCATAACATAAACCTTGGCTCATCTTCCTGTAAGGATGACGCATACAGTGGATATTCTTCCTGTTAGCATGACATATACTGTTGCTTATCTTTCTGTAATCATGACAAATACCGTTGCTAGTCCTCCAGTTTACATGACTCATACCATGGCCATCCTGTTAGAATGACATACACTGTTGCTTATCTTTTTATTTACACGACTCATACCATGGCTAATCATCATGTTAGCATGACATACTGTTGCTTATCTTTTTATTAACACGACTCATACCATGACTAATCATCCTGTTAGCATGACATACTGTTGCTTATCTTTTTATTAACATGACTCATACCATGGGTAATCATCCTGTTATCATGACATATACTGTTGCTTATCTTTTTATTAACACGACTCATACCATGACTAATCATCCTGTTATCATGACACATACTATTGCTTATCATTTTATTAACATGACTCATACCATGACTAATCATCCTGTTAGCATGACATATACTGTTGCTTATCTTTTTATTAACAAGACTCATACCATGGGTAATCATTCTGTTATCATGACACATACTGTTGCTTATCTTTTTATTAACATGACTCATACCATGGGTCATCATGTTATCATGACACATACTGTTGCTTATCTTTTATTAACATGACTCATACCGTGGCTAATCATCCTGTTATCATGACATATACCATGACATATCGGCCTGTCTGCTATGATCTAATATATCGTATCGAATCGTTCTGTCTATTAGCACAGTATTATGGCTAATCATCTTGTCTGGTTGCATGACTCATACCATGGGTAATCGTCCTGTTAGTATGACACATTATGTGACCTATTATCCTGTCTATTAGCATGACACATTATGGCTAATCATTTTGTCTGTTTGCATGACTCATACCGTGGTTAATCGTCCTGTCTGTAAGCATCATATATACCTAGGTTAATTGTGATGTTAGTATAACTTATACCTTGGTTATCGCTCTGTCTATTGGTATGACACACTATGGCTAATCAGTTTTTTTCTGTTAGCATGACTGGTACATTGACTAATCGTGCTGTCTGTTAGCATAACATATACCTTTGTTCATCGTCCTATTATAATTAGAATGACACATACCGTGGTTAATCGTTCTGTTAACATGACACATACCGTGGTTAATCGTTCTGTTAGAATGACACATACCGTGGTTTATCGTCCTAGTAACATTGCACATACCGTGATTAATCGTCCTAGAAGCATGACACATACCGTGGTTAATCGTCCTAGAAACATGACACATACCGTGGTTAATCGTCCTAGAAGCATGACACATACCGTGGTTAATCGTCCTAGTAGCATGACACATACCGTGGTTAATCGTCCTAGAAGCATGACAAATACCGTGGTTAATCTCCTTGTAAGCATGACACTTAACGTGGTTTAACATTTTAAAGGTGTGCGTCATACTCGCTTTTCGTCTACAAATTAATCATCAGTGACACTCAGATTAAAGTAGTAAAAGTGCCAAATAAATTACAAACCTGAAGAGCATCGACAACCCTGAATTCGGAAAGGTTTTGCCAAATACAGCTAAGGTAAACTAGTATATGTATTCAACTCTAGTGACAATGTTTCTTTTCGGATAGGCACCAGAACTCAAACTTAGTAGAGGAACACCCTAGGTACACACTTTAGATTTTAATGTGCGATATGGTTTTTGAGAGGTTGTATGTGGATAATTCCTATATGGCTTCATTATGTTACATGCACTTTAATAGTCATATCTTATTTCAGGGTGGCATTCAAAATCGCAAATACTCATAAAGGATCACCCCAGTTACATTGTGTTTAAAAATGTGAGACAACTTCTGAGAAGAAGCTTTGTATATATATGTATTTCTCATAGTTCTATGTTAAACTGTGTTCCGTGGTGGTGGCCAACTTGAATTAGGATTGGTATCTTAAACTCAAAATGGCTTTAAGGATATCTATGGGTCATTTCTACAATATTTTAAATAAATATGCAAAGAAATTCCTCAGAATATTGTTGTTAATTCAGGTAATCAGAATGCATTTTGACTCTTGCAACCATTATACATTTCAGATCCACGTCAAAAAACATAATTTGGTGAAGTACATTCAAATATGAAAATCCCTGCCAATTTTGGTAGCTGGCAGAAGATTTAAATATGAACTAGAACACAACCGCGAAATCGCGGGCACTTAGAGCGTGGTTGAAAGTATGTAAACTGTTGTAGGATGAATTTTTGTAAAAGATTTTGACTGTAGAATTTCAGGAAAGGTATCAAAAGTCATAGGTACTTGGAGACAGGGCTATTTTTTTTTAGCCCACCCCCTTTTTCTCAAAATCCGTTATTTTTTTGTTTTCTATTAATTTCAATTATTTTTGCGTTTTTCTGTATACTATGAAGTTCAACATACATATGCTATAATCTCTATATATAATTTACCAGTGACCGCCGTTGATACAGATAGTAAACTTGGAATTGATAGTAAATAGCAAATACACTTTATTTATAGTATATGTATGTTCATAGTATACAGAAAAACGCGAAAATAATTGTCCTGTCCCCGAGTACCTGTAGGTAAAAATTATGTGTAATTTTAGACAGTTCTAAACGGAAGTGTTGTCTATAACTTAAAAGTCCGTCCGATGACGGAAACAATATCCGGACGCCTTTATTTTCGTTTTCCTCCCAAAATAACCCAAACAGAATAATCATAAGCGAGGCTGACAAATGCGACTATGCATGGTACCTATAGGACACAGAGACATGATGATTGATTTATTGTGGAAGGAAGAGAAGCGACACACAAACTGAGGTCTTCTCATTTGATAGTTTAGATAGTTTTCAGACAATTTATCAACAGTAATGTCAATACCTCACGTGATCCTTTAGAGCTAGGTTAGCTTATACATTGTAGGTGCCGAACCTGTAACTTTATTGTGTGTCTGCCTAGACCCCCCCTCCCCCCTTTTCCCCCTTCCCCAAGGTTCAAACTATATAAAAAAAAATCAAATATAATATTACTTTTAATAAAATGGTAATTTCAATTTATTTTATTTGTTTATGATTATAGATTTCTAGGAGAAAAAATGTAATACATAAACATTTAGTATCATGACTATAGTATTTGACTGAATTTTAGTATCATGACTATAGTATTTGACTGAATTTTAGTATCATGACTATAGTATTTGACTGAATTTTAGTATCATGACTATAGTATTTGACTGAATTTCAAATGCAAAAAAATTAGTGCATTACATGTATCAATGTTGTTTAAGAATTTTTGTTTTGTGGAGAAGGATATAAATAAGGTATCTTGAAGGAAAGTGTAGATGAACATAGGAGCATGCAGTTATTGCATCATGGTATAAAAATAGAGCAGTGCTATTACATGTATTAATACAAATTTAGATTTAACAAGTATCTATTTAGTTAAACAATGTAATTTGATTTTAGAAGTCAGTAAGGCCTTGTGAGTTTCGTCCCTTTACATAAATATGATGTGTAAATGAATGACCATTTGTACTTGGGACTCTTCAGTAGGCAGTACAGATGGCTAAAATTGTGTGTCAAAAACAACTGGCATCATACATGTATTACAATAAGCATTTTTGTGCATTTATTTATGCTTTCCTTTATTTGGCTGTCTGGAGACAAAGAATGTTACTAGATTCAAATGGAAATGAAATGCTTTAATATCCCTGAACAGTTAATGTAATACTTCAATAGTATCAGGTACTCACATTTGTTTAAGAAATTTATATATAGATTATGCAAAATGTTTTAACCATCTTACCTTACAGTTCAAATCATGTACATGTAGATATTGATGGTCTGTTTTCAAATCTTAATTCCATACAGAGTGTTTATGTATAAAAATAAACTGAACACAATGAACTTTAAAACTACAATTAGACAGAAAGCTCAATCCAGTGGTATACTTTGTAATACTGGCAATTATCACCAAACAGCATGGAGATCCCGAAAAAATTATGCAAATTACTTCTATTAGATGTAGAATACATAGGAAGAAAGGGCGTTATATCAAACATATTCTGTACAAAGCTAGCATTGGCAATACAAAATGGTGAATATTGATTGATTATTGGGATTTTAACCGGCGTCACTTTAAAGCTTACTTGGGCTATTTCGTAGCCGCCATATCCTAGTCAATTAAGATTGCATCCCCACGAGCAGGGTTCGAACTCAGTATTGACTGGCTAGTGATAGCAGAAACAACTACTTAAACCACACGGCCACCGAGGCCCCTTAAAATGGAAAATACATAAGATGACAAACAATTCTACTATTAAAACTTTTACTTTTTCTGTACATCAAGTTTATAATACATTTTATTTAGATTTCTTTAGATTTGGCGAACATTAGAGTTTTCCGGCGGTGCTGAAATGCTTTAAAATGTTGCATCCCAAATAACTAATTACCATTGCATTCGGAAAATTTCTTGATTTATTATACCTTTGAAGTATTTGCATTCGGAACAATCATGACTAACGTATTTTCCAAATCATTAATCTAAAAAAATGATGCATTGATCCTAAAGACAAAAATTTTGTATCAAAAAAATGTTGCGTCAGAAATAACTAGTAACCATTGCATTCGGAAATATCATGACTTATTTCCCGTATCATTATTTGTTTAGTATATTTATATTTAATTAATTAATTTATCTATTTGTTGATTAATTGATTGATTGATTTATCTATCTATTTATTTATTATATATTTTGTTGATTGATTGATTGATTCTTTATTGATGCATTTATTTATTTATTTGTTAATTAATTTATTGATTGATTTATTGATTTGTTAATTGATTTATTGATTGATTGATTTATTTGTTAATTGATTGATTGATTTGTTAGTTGATTGATTGATTGATTTATTTATTGATTTATTGTTTTTTTGATTTATTTATTCATTTTGTATTTTCTTTCATTTATACACAATGTTTACATCTAATTATATACAAGGTATTACTTATTTCTGTATTTATCAATTTATTTGACCGTTTATATAGATATACAATGTTAATTTTTATTTTCATTTCATCACGTAATTCAATTCTTTTCTTGATGTGAAAAAGGAATACTGTGTATATACATCAATGAGACAGCAACCCAACGACCAAAACAACAACAAAAATCCTAAGGATAGAATACATTCAGGAGCTTGTATTTCTGTGGCGGTCGTTTGTTGCTGTGCATCATATTTGTTTTTGTTTATTGTTTTGTACAAAAATCGGGCCGTTAGTTTTTTCGTTTGGATTGTTTTACATTAGTCATTTCGGGGCCTTCTATAGCTAGACCATGTGGTTTTGGTTTTGCTCAATGTTGAAGGCCATATGGTGACCTTTAGTTGTTAATTTATATATATGTATATACGTCATTTAGTCTCTGGCGCAGAGTTGAATCATTGGTGATCATACCACATCTTCTTATCTTTTTTATATTGGACATCAGACATCGTCTACATAACATATCAAGCTCTAAATTGACCCGAGTTGATGGTTAACATAAATAAACTCATCATAGATCCCAGGATTATAGTTTTGTACGCCAGACACGCGTTTCGTCTACAAAACACTCATCAGTGACGCTCGAATAAAAAAAAATAAAAGTCCAAATAAAAAACGAAGTTGAAGAGCAGTTAGGATCCCATATTCCGAAAAGTATAAACCCAGAGGTCATTAAACATATGTTCGTAAATTGTATAACGATTCTTGTTACAAAACTACACAGGCACTGAGAGCAAACATCTATCGTTGACAATCCGAGAAAAGTTTTACTCCGTTTCCCAAGTGATGAAAAACGATTAAATAAGATTGAAATCGAGTTTTCCATTTTCCTACATTGACACGACTCAAAGTTTTGTCGAGTTCTGATGTTGAGCAGAAGAGCTAAAATCTGATCCAAAAGTCTAAATGTTATCCAAGTTTCCTATAAAACAGCACGTCAAAGCATTTTCCTTTCTTTCTCACTCATAATTATGCACGAGTTTGTTACAAATGATAACATCTATGTGACATTTTGGGATAATTTAAATTGTATGTGTTTGACAAATAAGGGGACGACAAATTGATATTCGGAAAGGGGGGGTCGATTTTTTTCAGGTTTGATCATTTATTTTTATATCTGTTGCTACGCATGCTTATTTTTTTCCGCGACTTCGACGCTCGAAATTTTTTTCCACTTTTGTACACATTTTATTCCGGCATTCTATGTTGCAGAATATTCATTTTTACCCTGTCTTATTTATCTATTTTCAGTGCTTACCAGACCAAGGTATTTATTTTATAAAAAAAAATCCTTCTGGCCACCCCCTCCCCCGCCCCAGAAAATCAAACGGTCGTCCCTTATGTCCGTGAACACAGTTATCGTCATTAGATTATATATAGTCCCTAGTGTGGACAGTGTATGACTTTCAAAGTTTTTTTATACACCTTCCCAATTTATTTCTTTATGTTTTATGCTTGAAATAGCATGAAGGGGGATGAAATTACACTTTAAAAAATTGGGCCATGAATAGTAATTTGGTCCATTTGACAACGGTCAAAAATTAGTATGTCTGAACCTGTCAACCAGAATTCAAGCTTAACATAAAATTGTCCATATTTTGAGTTAGAGCTGAAAAGTTTTCTATAATCTTGATATAATTTGTCCCAACAGTAGTACACAACACTGTAAAAGTATTATTGAGACAGCCCAGGTGCGATTTTTAATGTCTTTTTAATCTATATTTATTGTGTGAAATGTGTGAAAGAAATGCACGACATGTACGAAATAACTGTGTTGTCGAGTCCAAGGAATTTTTATTATAAAACTTGAGTTGGATAAATAATTTTAAAAAAAGTCGAGACAATCGTTGTAGATTTTTGTTCTTCTGGTAATTTTGAGGTATACACGATTTTCACACTTACAAAATGTACATTTTAGGTTTTCAGAATAATTTTTGAGCTTCTTTTAGAAGATTGTGTGTCTCGTGAATGGATTTTGATTGAAAAGAAATAAAAAAAAAAAAGAACAGAATCGATAATCAACTGCAGATTTTGTTTTCTTCTGGTCATTTAGAGATAAACTTTTGTTATAAAAGTATTTATATAATTTTTTTATTTGAATATTTATACATTATTTTCTCCCCTCCCCCCCCCCCCCCCCCCCCCGTTGTTACTCTGATGCAGGGGATGTGAAAACATGACCTTGTGCAATGCCAAAATTAGGTATCCATCGACAGACTTGATGGTGACTTTTTACCCTATAGCTTAGACACAACTATAAATCATGATAAATTCAGTAGCTGTCCAGTTTATGGAACATGCATCCTATACAATTATCAAATAATTCTTGTCTTTTTATTTAGAGTTGTGGAACTTTGAACTTGATAGAAAATGTTAATTATTCTGGAAATTAGGATCAGTGCGAGACAGAAGATCCTTTATTTACCGGAGCAACATTTACATTAACCAAAATGAATATCACTTTTTCATGCTCTGAAATGAACTGTTTCACTTAATGCTGATGTTTCCGTCAAATTTATCCCCTTTGAAAGACAGCATTATCCAAACTACTGCCATGGCGTTGCAACTGCATTTAGACTTATAAGTTTGAATATCACCTTGGTATCTTCCAACTCTCTTTTATTTATATTTTTGTGGTATTACTTATTATCATTGTGGTGTAAACATTATGAAGTTCATGTACTTAAGTATTATTTGGATAAAATTGAGAATGGAAATGGGGAATGTGTCAAAGAGACAACAACCCGACCATAGAGCAGACAACAGCCGAAGGCCACCAATGGGTCCTCAATGCAGCGAGAAACTCCCGCACCCGGAGGCGTCCTTCAGCTGGCCCCTAAACAAATATGTATACTAGCTAGTTCAGCGATAATGGACGTCATACTAAACTCCAAATTATACACAAGAAACTAAAATTAAAAAAGATACAAGACTAACAAAGGCCAGAGGCTCCTGACTTGGGACAGCCGCAAAAATGCGGCGGGGTTAAACATGTTTTTTGAGATCTCAACCCTCCCCCTATACCTCTAGCCAATGTAGAAAAAACAAACGTACAACAGTACGCACAGTAAAACTCAGTTTAAGATAAGTCCGAGTCCGATGTCAGAATAGGAAACAAAAGAAAAAAAACAAAATGACAATAATACATAAATAACAACAGACTACTAGCAGTTACTGACATGTCAGCTCCAGACCTCAATTAAACTGATTGAAAGATTATGTCTTCATCATATGAATATCAGGCACAATCCCTCCTGTTAGGGGTTTAGTATTATACCATCATAAAATATATGAAAAGAACATAACCCGTGTCATGCCAACAACTGGTTTTAGAATAAATATGTTTAATTCCGATGCAAAGACCCTATAAGTGAATCAATATTAAAGCCAAAATATGCAATCTTTAATGACCTGACAACAGTATCGTAACTATATCCCTTCTTAATAAGTCTGTTTAAAGGTTGTCTATTTTTACTCAGTACCTGATAATAATTGTAAGTTGTTTAAACAGAAGTAGATGTTCTAATCGGTGAGGGAGGAAAAACAACAACACAACAACCCTGAAATTACATTTACATAAGAAACATGCAAAATATGAATAAAGATCTAAACGAGTCAAGTTAATAAGTATATAGATAATTGACAAACGCGGACCTCATTTTCAAACTCCATGGATTGCTTTATTCACTATGAACTAGGTATGAGCTTTAACTTCACAACCTTTCATCATGATTGTAGAGATTACATGTGTATGGATGACCAGACTGGAATTTCATACATTACATCCATCATCAGTGTACATTCTGTAGCTAATCAAGATACGACCCATCTCATCTACAATCTAACCAAAACACGTGCATGTTATTTCTGGAAATATTATGAAATTCTCTTGCTAATTCTAAAATTCTAGAATCCATTCCATTGGTTATTTTCTAATTTCATTAACAAGTTGTGTCATTAGCCTGTTTTGTGGGGTGCTGTGAAGGGATACATACCTATCATTCCATGCACGTGAGATTACAAGATATGTTATAGCATTCTACTTCAGACAAACATCAATCTCTTGGCGATGGTTGTATTAAACGGATAACATACCCGGAGAGTCAAGCGTGAGTATATATTTTTGAAACATATCAAATATTTAGTAACTGATGAACAGTTAATCTTTAGTGAAACGGTAACTATCAAGTCCATACTGTCTAAAGGTTTCACTATTTAAATACTTTTGATGCATTCTTCCTATCTTTCTACCATAAATATTTGCAAGTGTTTACATCATTATGTGCGTGTGTTTGTGTTTGTATGTATTTATGTCCTCGTGTTTTAATGTTGAAAGAAACATATTAAAGATCATTAAACTATTAATTGTTTTAAAAGTCGAAAATGTTTTTTTTTAAGTATCTTAAATGATTTAGACTTCATGAAAATGTCTTCGTTATCAGTTTTAATGATAAAGTCAGAAAGGTTAAATATCTATTAGAATTAACAGTATGGATATAATCAGTAATAATCGGCAGCAAACAGCTGCAACAAAATGGCAGCTATTTTGAGAAAGTTATCTTACGAAAGAAAACACCTTCGTTATCAGTTAGTGGTTACTTCGCTGTAGCATTCTTCTATGATGATTTTTATTTTATAGATAAGAATCAGAATATTAATTGTAAAGATATAATGGCACGCTTTAGATCAGAGTTACACGTCCCAGTGCACAGAGACGAAATGAACTTCCAAGACCGACAAGTAAAGTCCTGGCAAGATACAGAAACAAAAATGGAACAACAGAGGAAGGAATGGGATGATGAATTTGATCGGATGCGGAACGATTTTTTTACGCTTAAACCAGTTGATAAAATTCGGAGCAGCCCAGAAAGGCTTGATCACTTGAAAACTATTTATGAAACAGATCCATTTGGGAATCAAAAATTTATGGTTCGATTTGATGTTAGTGAATTTAGACCTGAAGAAATCCAAGTTCGTACACAGGACGGTAAAATATCCGTATCTGCAAAACACCTACAGAAATCTTCAACATCATCTGTCAGTAAGGAATATAGTAGAAACATTGATATCCCTAGTAATGTTGATGAGGATAAATTACAGTGTGTACTTAGCAAGGATGGAATATTGACTGTCGAAGGGCCGTTGAAAAAGGGCCATCTTGTTACCACTAATTATTTACCTATTCAACAAGGTCCTGGAAGTGTCTCGCCTGTACCAACGATTAACAATCAAGTGGCCATTTCCAAACCGTTAGAAGTAGCGACACCAGTCAAAAACCCGATTATAACGGAACCCGATGGTACACGGAAACTACGTTTATCAGTCGACGTAGGCGAATTTAAACCGGACGAAATTGTAGTGAAAACAGCAGAGAAGAAATTAATTGTTCACGCCGAGCACGAAGAAAAATTGTCAGGAAGAACACTTCATAAAGAATTTAACAAGGAATACGAACTTCCCGATAGCGTAGATCAGTCGGCAATTACGGCTTATATTGGAGAGGAAGGAAAGTTATATATCGAAGCGCCATTAAAGCCAGCACAACAGAAGAGATACTCTATAACCCAGACACACGACGTTAGGAAGGTTGTTGTTACAAAAGAGTCACAAGTGACTATAACGGACAGCCAAAACAGACCTATGATAACAATCAATGTTCACCGTAACTAAATGGATTATATTCAAGGGCGGAAGGATGAAGGATTTCAATGTTGTGATAGGTGACATAGTAAGCTTGCTTTTCGTTGTAATAGTAAGTGTATGGACACTGTATATATGAATCCTGTTATATGTTTGCTTCATGTTCATATAACCTGAGTATCTTTAGGATGCAGAACTAAGTATGTCTGTTGATAAAGATTTATAGACAATAATTTGGAATGACGCCATATCAAAGTGCCAAGAAAAACAATTACGGTGAAATTATTATGAATGAGAGTTAGTTTGACTGTTATCACCATGCATATAAGTCTGCAGTCATTTATTTTGTCATAAATAACTTCATTGTTTGGTGCTTTGCAAGTGGTTTTCAATCTTCATCCGAGAAAAAAATGTCAGTATTGCGAATATGAAAACAATTTCTGATTTTTAGTTTTATTTTCTTTCATTTTATTAAGTTTAGTTTGTTAGATAAAAACAAAGCTGACAGAGAATATTTACAATTTATTAAAGATTTCAAATTTATGTTCGTTTAATGTTGAAAAGAATATGATTTTTTATATCTTTCGATTTTTTATATAGTTCTATAAATCTGTTTCTGAGGTGGTAATATAACGTATCAAAGTTAAATCTGTTTCGGATATGGTAATATAACGTATCAAAGTTAAATCTGTTTCGGATATAGTTATATAACGTGTATCAATGTTCATAATTTTGTTTAGCTCAGTCATATCAATCTCACTATATCCCTCCTCCATGTTTGTTACCTCAGTATTGATTTTTCTTCGCTTTAGAAAAGAGGAGGAACTTGAACGATCACGTAGACAATATACGCCCAAGCACTCGTGTAAATTCATCTTGCAATTAGTTATAAGATATGAAAGTCATTATTTAGTTAATTAGTTATTTGTTTATTTATGTATGTAATGCATGTATCCCTCAAGAAGTTGATGTATTGCAATGTAACGTGAAACACTGGAGTGGTTTATTTAGAAATCACTAATTAATCATTTGTCTATAAAAATATGGAGACATGGTATGATTGCCAAGAAAACAATTATTCATTACGACCTAAGGAAAAAGACTGATAAATTTGGACTTTTGGACAGGAAATGTAAATGAAATGTATATATAAGACTAATAATCTTAGAGATTCGCCAGCCGATGACAGATACATTCTTTATTGTTTTATCGTTAATCATTTGGCAATACTGCGAGGCTTTTCTTGTGCAATCCTGTACATTTCATGTAATAGTTCTGAAATCATAACTTGTGGGAAATTGCTGAAAACGCATATTTTTATGTGTTAATTATGTGTACTTGTTTAAGCTTATGGGTATGTTCATGTTTAGATATTTGATAACCCATCATGACTATAGAAAATAATGGGCCGAAATAGAAAAAAAACCCATGCAGAAAAATGACCTGAAAATTAAAGAATGGAGAAATGACGACCCACAACCGACCCTTATTAATGACAGATAAATTGTTATTGCTCCTGATTTGGACGGGAAGTTTGATTTATTAAATTCTACACATTTTACAAAGCTACCGCTGTTGATTACATCATGTTGGTAGTTTTGAACTGAACATATTTGTTTAATTAATATTTAAGTTATAAATCTTTGGTATACGATGTTTTACTTTGATTTCTTAACAGTCTTTTAATCTGCGAGTGTGTACTAGTTTGACCTGCAAAATTAGATACAAACAGTATATACTGAAAAAGAAATAATCATGAACTAATTTATTTTTAGCATCATCAAATGTTCTAATGTTTGTGTGGATGATGCCGAGTGTTAGGAATTTTGTAAGTGACTGAGTGAAAATAGTGGTAGGCTTGGAGTTGAGGGTGGGGAGGAGTGCAAGGTTTGTCTCTATTTCTGGTTGGGATGAGTAGCTATGACGTACAGTATCATAACCGTATTTTATTTATAATATCGACACCGATGCACAGCCATGTATATCTTATATGAAATAGAATTATCGTTAATGCTGTTTGACTTAAAGTCATGTTCAACGTTAGTAACTTAGACAATAAGTCCCCCTTCCCAACCCCTGTTTATGTAACATTTTTTCATTTAGAGACTAATAATTGCATATACAGAGGTTTATATGGTTTACCTCGTACCTCACTTATCTGCATGTTTAACATGCCAGATTTCCATGAATGTACTGCAACATATTTCAATATATGAAGTTACTAAGACGCGAAACAAAGAAGTCAACTGTAGGGGATGAATATTTCTGTGTGTACATCATATTTGAGTGTTTTCATATTTTCATTGTATTTCAGTAAGCTCTCTTATACTGTGATTACGTTGTAATTAATTGTTAAATAAATTAATGTTATAATAAATGTTTATAATGTTGCTTTTAGCATTCATTTATCTGTTTACTTTTCAGTGGCAGGCGGTAACCCGTTTAGTACCCACTGATCAATGGCAGGCGGTAACCCGTATAGTACCCACTGCGGTAACCCGTATAGTACCCACTGCGGTAATCCGTATAGTACCCACTGCGCTTACCCGTATAGTACCCACTGCGGTAACCCGTATAGTACCCACTGCGGTAACCCGTATAGTACCCACTGCGGTAACCCGTATAGTACCCACTGCGGTAACCCGTATAATACCCACCGCGATAACCCGTATAGTACCCACTGCGGTTACCCGTATAGTACCCACTGCGGTAACCCGTATAGTACCCACTGCGGTAACCCGTATAGTACCCACTGCGGTAACCCGTATAGTACCCACTGCGGTAACCCGTATAGTACCCACTGCGGTAACCCGTATAATACCCTCCGCGATAACCCGTATAGTACCCACTGCGGTTACCCGTATAGTACCCACTGCGGTAACCCATATAGTACCCACTGCGGTAACCCGTATAGTACTCACTGCGGTAACCCGTATAGTACCCACTGCGGTAACCCGTATAGTATTCACTGAGCTAATTTAAACAGCTTATCGTAATAATCACCCTGCTACCATAGAACGAGTAAACCGCTTACCATAGTAAGCACCTTAAAATTTCCAATTTCACTGGTATAAACAAATTGTGACACCCTCCGAATAACAAATACTAACTGCTCAAATGATTGTGCATATTTAAATAATCAACGGGGGGATACATAAAACAATACCTTATTGATAACACAATCTCCCGAAATTCAGCTTAACCGTGATGCAAGGGAAGTGTATGCTTTATTGTAATGTTAGGACATGGTATGCTTAACCGTAATGCTAGGGAAGTGTATGCTTTACCCTAATGCTAGGGAAATGTATGCTTTATCGTAATGTTAGGAGAGTGTATGCTTCACCATAATGCTAGGGAAGTGTATGCTTTATCGTAATTTTAGGAGAGTGTATGCTTCACCGTAATGCTAGGGAAGTGTATGATTTACCCTGATGCTAGGGTAGTGTATGCTTTATCGTAATGTTAAGAGAGTGTATGCTTCACCGTAATGCTAGGGAAGTGTATGCCTGATCTTAATGTTAGGAAAGTGTATGCTTCACCGTAATGCTAGGGAAGTGTATACTTTATTGTAATGTTAGGATAGGGTATGCTTTACCGTAATGCTAGGGAAGTGTATGCTTTACCCTAATGCTAGGGAAGAGTGTGGTTTACCCTAATGCTAGGAAAGGGTATGCTTTACCCTAATGCTAGGAAAGAGTATGCTGTACCCTAATGCTAGGAAAGAGTATGCTTTACCCTAATGCTAGGAAAGAGTATGCTGCATGACTATCTAATATTTTTTTTAAATTGAATTTGAGCAAAATTGAAATGATCAGTCTTTATCCAACAGAGATCAAAGGACGTGAATGGGAACAGCTACAGGTCTCTCTACAGCCTTCAACAATGAGAAAATTATCCATCAGAGACCAAAGGACGTGAATATCAACAGCTACAGGTCTCTCTACAGCCTTCAACAATGAGAAAATTATCCACCGGAGATCGAAGGACGTGAATGTCAACAGGTACAGGTATCTCTACAGCCTTCAACAATGAGAAAATTATCCACCGGAGATCGAAGGACGTGAATGTCAGCAGCTACAGGTCTCTCTACAGTCTTCAACATGAGAAAATTATCCACCACAGACCAAAGGACGTGAATGTTAACAGCTACAGGTCTCTCTACAGCCTTCAACAATGAGAAAATTATCCACCACAGACCAAAGGACGTGAATGTTAACAGCTTCAGGTTTCTCTACAGCCTTCAACAATGAGAAAATTATCCACCAGAGTCCAAAGGACGTGAATATCAACAGCTACAGGTCTCTCTACAGCCTTCAACAATGAGAAAATTATCCACCACAGACCAAAGGACGTGAATGTTAACAGCTTCAGGTCTCTCTACAGCCTTCAACAATGAGAAAATTATCCACCAGAGTCCAAAGGACGTGAATATCAACAGCTACAGGTCACTCTACAGCCTTCAACAATGAGAAAATTATCCACCACAGACCAAAGGACGTGAATGTTAACAGCTACAGGTCTCTCTACAGCCTTCAACAATGAGAAAATTATTCACCACAGACCAAAGGACGTGAATATCAACAGCTACAGGTCACTCTACAGCCTTCAACAATGAGAAAATTATCCACCAGAGTCCAAAGGACGTGAATATCAACAGCTACAGGTCACTCTACAGCCTTCAACAATGAGAAAATTATCCACCACAGACCAAAGGACGTGAATGTTAACAGCTACAGGTCACTCTACAGCCTTCAACAATGAGAAAATTATCCACCAGAGTCCAAAGGACGTGAATATAAACAGTTATAGGGCAGCTGACTTAGGACATACACATACATATATTTGTGAACGCTTAACCCTTACGCTAGTGGCGTGAACAGTGGTCAAACATAAGAACATTAATATAATCAGTTGTTATAACTTGTCGTCAAACAAGTAAGCCTGTACTGTTTACAAATATAACGTTAGGCTGGTGTTTTGAAGTTCATGTACGTGGTCTTGTTACTCTGTAATCAAGTTACGTATAAACATAAAAAAAAATCGAAGAAAAAGTTTAATATTAAAACTAAAATGTTTTCCCAAAAATATGTTGTTATGGTTATATATGACAATCTAAACATTTCATACATTGGTAGAATATTTTCTAAATACTGAACGCTGAGTAAAACAAGACTATATTGATTAATTGTCATAGATAAGATATTTGCGAGTATACTAGTCGATGTTTATATTGCTGGTATCCATCAATATAGTTGCACGAGCTTTACACGTGAAAAATGTTCCCGGCTTCGTAAGAGGATTGTGTAATGGAATCAAAGAAGATAAAACCGGTTTAATCTGGTTTATAATTGGTTAATTAAAATCTGATTATATGAAGTTGTATTTGCCTCTTTAACATGCAAAAGTTATCATTCTTAATTATGTTTTAAGGAGTATTTAAACAAAATAGAGACCTTAAAAATACTGAAGCAAAGAGCTTGTTTGTCTCTGTTATCTATAAATATAAACAAATATTAGATAAACGTCACTGAGACAGCAAACCAATAACAGGGAGAAAATTAATATTCAACCCACACGAGCCATCGGATTTCCTGTATTTGTGACTGCATATTAATACAGTTCCAATAGCGCCAAACAGACGAATTTTTATATTCAGTCTATTTAACTTTTGGTATTTTATTCCGACGTCATTTACCAAGAAAAATGTCTTAATCTATTTTTTTCAGATGTAAATGTAACCTGAGACTTGTTAATGTTGAAATGTTGAGAACTTGAACAGTTTATATAGTTTAGTTTTTGGTGAAATTGGTAATATATTAAAAAATTATTAAAAAACAAAGCTATTATTCGGTATTTCTAATTCATTTCCACGCCAAAAACATCTTCTTTAAAAAAAATCATTTTTTTAATCATGTTTCAAAGTCTGAGAGAGAGAGAGAAATATATCTCCTGCAAAAGAGAGGCTAAATTATACCAAAGTATATTCAAACTTGAAACAATTTGAAAAACAAACTGACAATGCCATGGCAAATTAAAAAACACAAAAAGACGAAAAGATAAACAGTACACACAACTTAACATAGAAAACTAATGACTGAGCAACACGAACCCCACCAAAAAACAGGGTGATCTCAAGTGCTCCGGAAGGGTAAGCAGATCCTGATCCACATGTGGCACCCGTTTTATTGTATGACTATAAATTCTCTTTTTTCCTTGGCTAAAATATAGGGAATCTTCTTTGATAAAACATTATATTCGAACCGGGGAAAATCATGTGAGATTAGTATAAGATTTTTAAGTTCCACCAATAGACAAGTGTCTGCACAACTTGTCAAACTGTAAATCGCTAATACCACCTAAAGACAAGTGTCTACACAACTTGTCAAACTGTAAAACGCTACTTCCACCAATAGACAAGTGTCTACACAACGTACGGACGCCATCATGAGTTGGTTGATCGTTATGGAATATCCTTTTCACAGATGATAGCGGATATGTTCCTAATATCGTAACTACAATCCCGTCCCTTTTTCCCGAATGTGACCTACCGAATTAGACTTATTACCGGGTTTGTACTCAAATGAGCAACACGACGGGTGTCACATGTGGAGCAGAATCTGCTTACCCTTCCGGAGCACCTGAGATCACCCCCGGTTTTTGGCCGGGTTCGTGTTGCTCAGTCTTTTGTTTTCTATGTTGTGTTTTGTATAGTATTGTTTGTCTGTTGGATTTTTCTTTTTGAGCCATGGCGTTGTCAGTTTATTTTCGACTTATGAGTTTGAATGCCCCTTTAGTATCTATCGCCTCTCTTTTGTCAAACTGTAAATCGCTACTTCCACCAATAGACAAGTGTCTACACAACTTGTCAAACTGTAAAACGCAAGTGTTTACACAACTTGTCAAACTGTAAATCGCAACTTCCACCAAAAGACAAGTGTCTTCACAACTTGTCAAACTGTAAATCGCTACTTCCACCAAAAGACAAGTGTCTACACAACTTGTCAAACTGTAAAACGCAAGAGTCTACACAACTTGTCAAACTATAAAACGCTACTTCCACCAATAGACAAGTGTCTACACAACTTGTCAAACTGTAAAACGCAAGTGTCTACACAACTTGTCAAATTGTAAAACGTTACTTCCACCAATAGACAAGTGTCTACACAACATGTCAAACTGTAAAACGCTACTTCCACCAATAGACAAGTGTCTACACAACATGTCAAACTGTAAAACGCTACTTCCACCAATAGACAAGTGTCTACACAACTTGTCAAACTGTAAATCGCTATTTCCACCAATAACAAGTGTCTACACAACTTGTCAAACTGTAAAACGCAAGTGTCTACACAACTTGTCAAATTGTAAAACGTTACTTCCACCAATAGACA